ATATATATATATTTTTCCCTCGTTCATTATCGTACTTCATACTTCATCATGACTGAACAGACACCTAAAGTACTTAAGCTTAAGACCTTGTCCCCACCTTCGTATCAACTGATGCCTTTCTGGCCCGACAACATCGAAGCTTGGTTTTGCTACGCAGAAGCCGACTTCTCCGAGCACAGCGTGGTCGACACACGTGCACAATTCCTCGCAGTAGTCAAGGTACCACCGTGCGAATTCAACAGGTACGTAACACCTAGTATGTTTACTAGTGATGTTTCTGAACCTTACGAAACCTTGAAACGTTCGATTCTTAAACGAGGAGACCTAACCGATCGACAAAGGTTAGATCAACTTTTCAATAACATCGACCTGCAACACGGTTCTGCGACGGACATGTTGCAACGGTTGAGAGAGGTTATAGGCCCAAGAACTTTCGACGAAGGTCTATTCAAACAACTCTTCTTGTCAAAACTTCCCCAACAGGTGCAAGCAGTTCTGGTCTCGTTCCAGAACAACGCCTTAGACGAGCTAGCTGCATCTGCCGACCGCGTTTTAGAAATTACGAAACCTTCTACTACCGAGGTATTTTCAGTCAAAGAAAAACCTCAAACGACTCAGAATGATATAACCGATTTATGTCATACACTCACGCGTTATCTTAGTCTTCGTACCGACCGTAAGAGATCGCGCACTCCACGTAGAAGCATTTCACGTAAGCGATCTGTCTCTAGACCACGAGAGACAGATAACCCCGACTGGTGCTGGTATCATAACCAGTATGGAAAGTTTTCCAGAAATTGCAGAAAACCCTGCAATTTTCCCAACACGAAATCGAGTGACTCGGAAAACAACTCGGGAAACTTCCAAGCCGGCACGCGTTAACGGCAACCGTAGCCGGCGAACATAGCCGTCTGTTATACGTCACAGATGTGACAACGAGAGTTCGCTACCTCGTCGACACTGGCGCAGAAGTTAGCGTTCTCCCAGCAAATCCTAACGACCGGCTTCAGGAATCGGCTTTTAACTTACAGGCGGCAAACGGAAAACCGATCGCTACGTATGGCAAAAGGTACGTTTACCTTAACGTGGGTTTACGCAAACCCATCCACTGGATTTTCGTTGTTGCAGATGTTTCTATGCCAATCATTGGTATGGACCTTCTACAACACCATAATCTGATCATCGACACTCGCAAACGGAGGCTAGTAGACGGAAACACTAATTTGTCCGTTTGCGTAACTTCTTTTACTGGTTGCAGATTATCCCCAGTCACAGTTAAGGATATGATAGACCCATTTTATCAGCCACTACTCGATAAGTACCCTGGGATACAACAAACTCAACCGAAACTACCGTGTGTAACCAGCAATGTTACACATCACATCACGACTACAGGACCACCTGTATTCTCTAAAGCACGACGACTAGCTCCCGAAAAGCTAAGGTTAGCGAAAAACGAATTCGATCACATGATAGGCTTAAGAATCATACGACCGTCAAATAGCCCTTATGCATCTCCGTTGCACATGGTCCCTAAAAAGGACAGCAACGATTGGCGTCCAACTGGTGACTATCGGCGATTGAACGCGAAAACCATTCCCGATCGTTACCCGTTGCCTCACATTCACGATTTGACAGCTACCTTGAAAGGTACAACTGTCTTTTGGAAAATCGACTCGGTTAAATCGTATAACCAAATACCTATGGCTACTGACGACATTCCGAAAACAGCTATCATAACTCCCTTCGGACTCTATGAATTTTTGCGAATGCCTTTCGGTCTACGAAATGCTGCTCAAACATTCCAAAGATTCATAGACGACGTTTTTCGAGGTCTCAACTTCGTACATGCGTATGTTGACGACTGTCTAATCGCATGTCCGGACAGAGAAACACATCTCAAGCATCTGTATCTTGTTTTCGAACGACTACAGAGACATGGCATAACTGTAAACATTCAGAAATGCCAATTCGGAACCGACTCGTTAGACTTCTTAGGACACACTATCGATGCTCAAGGCATTCGACCTCTTAGGACCAAAGTAGCGGCCATTCTGGATTACCCAGAACCGACCACCGTCAAGCAATTACGCACGTTTAACGGCCTGGTAAGTTTCTATAGACGTTTCATACCGAAATGCGCATTACTCATGAAACCTCTAACCGACCAACTTCGTGGAAATGCGAAATCCATTAATTTGGACGACAACTTACGAAGAGCATACTCCACAGTTAAGGAACTGATTGCTAAAGCAACAATGCTCGCACATCAGGACACCGAAGCACCCATTAGTATCGCAGTAGACGCATCCGACTCGGCAATCGGAGGAGTCTTACAACAATCGGTTAACAACTCATGGCAACCCTTGGCATTTTTCTCTAGAAGGTTGCTAGACACCGAATCGAGGTACAGCACATTCGGTAGGGAACTCCTAGCTATGTATTGTGCTGTACGGCATTTCCAACACTACATCGAAGGTCGTGAATTCACTCTTTTCACGGACCATAAACCGATCACTTTCTCGTTAGGCTCTCCTTCAGACAAGTACTCTCCCCGTGAGTCTCGACAACTGGACTACATTTCGCAGTTTACTTCAGACATTCAACACATCTCTGGAGCAAACAATGTAGTTGCAGACGCCTTATCTCGCATAACTTCCTTGAACAGTTTCCAAGGAATCAACCTTCTTAAACTCGCCGAGCTTCAAAAAGAAGACACTGATCTTCAGCACGTGTTATCGTCCACAACCCTTAAACTACACATCAAACAGATGGGAACAGGTAAGGAAACCTTACTTTGTGACACATCTACAGGTAGGGATCGCCCAATCGTGCCGAAACATTATCGACGCAATGTCTTCAATACATTGCACAAACTTTCTCATCCAGGTGTTCGTGCAACCATCAAGCTTATAGCAGAACGGTTTTGCTGGCCTGGTATGAATAAAGACATGAGGGAGTGGGCACACTCCTGTGTAAGCTGCCAAAAATCTAAGGTTATCAGACACAATAAATGTCCCTTAGGCTCATTTAAAACTCCCGATGCTCGTTTCGACCATGTTCATCTGGATTTGGTAGGACCTTTACCAGATTCAAATGGATACTCTTACCTCTTAACCTGCGTAGACCGTTTCACTCGATGGCCAGAAGCAGTACCTATCAAGGACATCACTGCTGAAACAGTGGCCCGCACCTTTGTCGAACGATGGGTAGCAAACTTCGGTTGCCCTTCAACCATCACTACAGACCGCGGACGTCAGTTTGAATCTGATCTTTTCCGTCGTCTGACCACACTATTAGGAAGCACTCTCTTCCGAACGACCGCCTACCTACGGGTTGGTAGAACGTTTCCACCGACAACTAAAAGCTTCACTATCAGCTGCAAACGTTTCACAGTGGACCGACGTTCTTCCACTCGTCTTACTAGGTATCCGCAATGCAGTGAAAGCTGACATTGGATACACTGCGGCTCAACTCGTTTATGGAACAACACTTCGACTTCCAGGAAAATTCGTGGATCCTTCGTCCTCTTCAATGAACATGGATCTAACCTCCTACGCGAACAGGCTTACAAACGCAATGCGTTCAGTTAAACCTGCTTCCACTCGACCTCAATCAACTAATGTTTTCGTTCAACCTGACTTACGATATAGTACACACGTTTTCGTTCGTTGAGACTCGCATCGACGACCATTCGAATCAGCATACGAAGGACCCTTCAAAGTTCTTCAACGCGAACCGAAGTACTATATAGTCGATAAGAACGGAACCAACGATAGCATCAACATCGATCGCCTCAAAGCAGCGTATTTAGAAGGAAATCTTATCTACGTCGATTTTGCTTCGTTACAATCGAACGACACGACTCCACTCATAATTCCTCAACCGACAACCAACACTAGCGATGATACTCCGAATGTATCTGAAAATAAACCTAAAACGACGCGTTCTGGAAGAAGAGTAAGATTTCCAGAACATTTAAACGACTACTGCACGTAAAGCACTAATCGACATTTCATATTATCTCCATCTTTCTTTTTACGATATATAATTTTTTTTTAAAAAAAGAATTTTAATATGCTTATATATTTATATTTTTTTTTACTTGAAAAAAACAAAAAAAACATTTTTTAACGCTACTATGTGTGCTTGAGTATATTTTCCATTTTTTCGCCGACATTGTGTTTTTACGCACATACGAGTGTATTTCGACATGCACTTACACTTTCTTTTTTCTTTTCCAGGACGGCTGGAAAAGAACGATGCAGTTTACGAGGAGTCGAAATTTTCGTTGTAACTTTTTCTTTTTTTACTATGTTGTACCTCGGTCCCATATAGTAAGGAAAGACGACCAGACGCTGCTACACTTAGTAAGCTATCAGAAGAGTGTTTACCAACGACAAACTCGTTGGGTTTAAACTTCTGGCTGGCCACGTCTTAGGATCGTCACTGCCTCACTAGGGGGGGAGTGATCTGTAGCGGTAAATAAATCCCCAAAATAAATAGCTCTAAGTTTTCGACATTGGATGCTGACCATATGTTTTAGTGGACTCATCTAGCTGAAGGCGCTCGGTCATGCATCTGCACCAGATCACGTGTGGTAATGCTGTGCTCAACATCAACCGTAATCGCTAGCCAGATTAGATCAGAGAATTCCGATATATTGGTCATCGCCAAATATACTCTTCCGATCTCCTCGACTCTGTCTTTTGATTTCTCTGGGTGGGAACGAAATATATTAGAGGGTGTTACTGGTAAAAGCGTTGTCAAACACTGAATACCTGTGACATCATCACGCTCATTCTGTTTTTTGAAATACGTCATATTGGTTAACCATAAATTTATTTTAAAATGCATATCAGTTTCCGTTAGATGAATCAGAACCTTTGTGTTTCTTTCTTTCGAAAAATGATTGTTCAGACTGTTTTGTTTAAAATCACTATATGCAGTTATAGTATTATTGTTATTGGCTACGCTATTTCACTATTTTGAATTCTGCACATGTTTGTTAAAGGAAACGATGGAAATTGTTGAAGTTGTCAATAAAATGAACAAAGACTACCTTAGATCAGATTTCGACAAAAAGATTATGCTTAGATCACTATTTGTGCAAGTTTTGGCAGGAGATAGGTAATATTTTCAAATTTTCCTAATCATTGTAATTTTATAAATTAACGAATAAAGTATTAATTTGTGGGAAGATTTATACTCTTTTGTGACTACAAACTTGGATTTTGTACGATCAGTAAAAGATGAGGCTGAGGTAAACTGTGGGTTCCACCCCTTCAACTTATAGTTTTTTATAGTTCAGATATTTTGCCAATCGATCTATGAGGAATCTTCAAACTTCACTTGATAATCAATCAGGAGATAGATCGTCAAGCTCAACATTACGTCTAAGAACTATTTTTGTTGAACTTTCTGAAATGTTTGCGTACGTGTTAACCACATGTTCCACAGAATCGAACATGGTGTACGATAGTGAATCTGTTACTATTCCACTTTTACCTTCATGGTACTGCGGTGTCAGTAATTTTCAAGACGGGAAATCAGTAATTATGTACTTCTTTTGATCCACATAATAGATTTCTGTCGATAGTAGTAAAACAAAGAGTATTCAATGTTCATTATTTAGTTTGTTAGGACAGGAAGATCATTCATTGGTAAATTACTGAAATAAACTGTATATTATCTTCTGACAGGAAAATCTTCTACAAAAAATTCCATTCGGTAACTCGAAATACAGAGCATTTGGTGAATACATAAAGAATTTGTCAAGTAATAAATCCGAAACATCTTCAAAAGAAATTGAGAATATGCGCCCAAATAATGGTTTCGATGCAATCGTCTACTTTTCAGTCTGCAGAAAAATAGGAGTTTATGAGTTTATGTACTTCACCAGAAAAAAACTCGAGAGCAGAAATATATCACCATATGATCTAGAACCTATTTTAAGACCAAGGGTAAATGGACAAATTTTTTTCTTAGAATATTTTAGGGCAGTTATAACATGAAGTCTAGATGCAAGTTAATTTTGCGTACAGAAGTCCGTCACAGTTTACGGACTTAAGCCAATCACTTGGATCATACTAACTGGTTTTAATACAACAAGTTACTTAAAAGACCTCCTCATCATGCACATTTCAGAAGGTTCTCTAACCATAATGATTTATTTGAGTACATGTGGGAAAGGTTTCAACCGCCACGATAATCACGAAGACAGTATTAGTTTTCTGTTCTTCCTATCAGCATTATGAATAACAAAGACTACACGTATGCCACCAGCTGGTCTTTTCAGTGATTAACTGAGTGCTGGAATTTAGTAAATATCATTAAGGAGTAATAATGTATCATTTTCGTTAGTAGAATATCTATAAATGTAGTCGAGATAATCCTTATAGATCGTGAAGTTTATAACCTTTGAGTTATCATTTCAGAAAAGCCGATTCTAAGTTTTTCAAGATACCTATTATTTACCTACTATTATAAATAAATACGTAAACTGCAATCCAAAACTTATTTCTTAGAATTTATGGGATTATGATTCATACTGGTTGTATCTCTGTTTACGCCTTTGTATTGTCCAGCTTACAACCGCAAAATATATAAGATAAAAGATGGAGCATATTCTTAGATCCATTTACCTTATTAATTGCCAATTTTTTGAATCTGGTATGTGGAATTGGTAAGTATAATGATATGAAAGATGCTTTCATTTGTGTCTTATAGATACACAACGAATCATCTCAGGGAAAGCTTTGTTTGGATTCTCAAGCCTTTCAATTGAGATATTGGGGATGTTATATGATCTGTTTACTGATTATTGTAATAACGAAATACTTCATGACCAGTTTCTGGGTTGAAGTGCATTATTGTAATGTGCATCATAAGTCAGTGTCAAGTCTGTTGCTATTACTAATCCTAAAGTATGATAGGAATTTCATTCATAGTTTTACTCAAATCTAAAACGCTAGGAATATTTATGGGTATATATCATTTTGTTCTCATATTAATGTCAAATACGCAAATAAAGAATTAAGAATTGGGAACATCCAGGAAGACTATGATAAGACAAACAAAGGCTTGAAAACCCTTCTATGAGCTAATTTAAGCGGTAGTTTTGTGTTCAAATAATCTATTTAACTTTCTCACGTCTTTGTTTTTTTAAGGAAACAATTTGTTGCTAAAAGGTAGTATTCCTCTGGATTATTGTAATCCCTTCATTTCTTAATGATCTACAACTTGGCCTGGAATTCAATCAATTCTATAAAATGCTAAATGGTTCTTTTCCTAGTCACTTTTATGCAACAGTCACTAAAAAAACTGCATAAAACTTTTGAGACGAGCCAAATAATATCTTTAATGGACAAATCGGTCGAATATAGAGAATAAATGAAGGTTCTTTATAACAACAATTATCGTCTACTAACATGACGTTAAGTTCAAATAAAACAGTGATGACGAAAGTTGCAAATGTTATCACTGAGACGTTTCCTAAATTTGTAAAACAAAACAACAGAAAGTAATCTTATGGTTGGAAGATACGATAGTTCAACACTAGAATCATTAAACAATCGGATTTTAAAAGCTTTATTCAGCATAATGAGCAGTTTACAATAATATTGAGGAAAGAGTCTCGACGAAGAAACGTAGAGATCTCAAGCATGAAAGGGTATATAATTTTTATTTCAGATAACATTAACATCTCCAAGTTTATATACACTTTTATTCGGGCTAATGGAAATAATTAGAGTCACGGTTTCCACCTCTATTTTCTGTAAACGATCTGATAAAAGTAACCTTTAACTCTCAAGAGATTATCCTGCTATCTAGGGATTTTCCAGGTGAATGTCAGAGCATTGCATGGAGTTAAAAAGTAAAAATATAAAAATTAATAATTTAAGGTTGAATGCAAAGGTTTAACTTTAATTCGTCTGGAAAAATTATGTTCACGACTTATGTATTGTAAGAGAAATTTATTGTTAACGTAGATAAAATCTACTCTTATAATCTATACTGTTCTCTGCAGAATGATGAACCACATTATATATTCAGTACATTTGGTATACTGGTCGCAACTGGAACTGAACAGGAGCATTTAAGTCTCACAGAATGGTTTTCAGAAGCAGTTTTATGCGAAACTTTAAAGAAAAATCCCACATTTTGCTACCTTTCAGCTTGGAAACCCATTTTCACGTAAGTTAAATGAACACTGAAGTCTGTAGATGATAAGAAGTGTCATATTTTAGTCCACTTAACTCACTAAAATTGGTAAAAAGTCTCATGCTTTAAATTTTATGTAGCATAAATTATGACTGATTAGGTTAACTAGGAAAGCATACATTAAGTACCGGGATCCACTTTATTTGTTTACAAACAACACTTGAAAATATAAGTCTACCTCAGGTTTAATGTTCCTTATTTAAGTCGAGCGTCGTGACTACAGTATTTTAGGAAGACATTGAACTACAAGGGTATCTTTATTCTTCATTTATGGGCTGGAAGTTTGGAAAATATGGGTTTCATTGGCAAACTAGATAAAATTATAAGTGTATGCTTGACATTGTACCGGATTTTTTGTTAGATGAATTTGTCAAACTGTATTCAACTAATTATTGGCCCAAAATATCGAGCGATCTGAGACCTGAACAATGTACATTCTTTCCTTACACAACCACCCTTCTACGGCTCATTTTTGATGCTTGTTCCTTACATAAATAGGGATCTATTTATATTCTCTTTTTCATGTCGAATCTCGCTCTCATGAATCGGGTCGTCATATCCCATCATTTAAAGATCTTCAACTTTGCAGAGTCTCAAGCATAAGATAAGATCATATAATATACTTAATATCCCAGTATCCTAATGTCCACTCTCAGACTGATCAGAATAGTCCAGTAATGATATTCATTTATTATGTGATGATTTTATCTGGTGTTAACACGAAGTTAATAATATCTCATATACATTTCGAATTTCAGCTGGCGTCAAATTACGAGAAGAAGAAAATTCAAACGGATACGTAATATTTTATTAAATAATTGTCTACTTGCAAATCCTTTATATGTTCGATTATTTCAGGTAGTTCAAAAGTAAGTGTATAGATGAAAAATATTTCTATTAGATGTTTAAAGATTTTATAAAACGTTATTAAACATTGGTTTAGAATAAAGTGAAGTGTAGTAGCTTTTCATTCTACACCGCACAAACAGTACCACATACCTTTTAAATAAGTGAAACCCGACATTTTTATAATTTTGCCTGAATTATGTGTTTGAATATATCTTAATTCCTATTTTATTGATAGTCTTTTTTATGGGACATGTATTTGTGCTAAATTATGCAGAGGGATTTTTACACCATAAGTGATTTTCAGATTTTACATAAAATTTAAGAATGAACGAATTGGATCTCATATCGTGTTAAGAGAGCGACAGAGATGTTTAAGTATGTTTCTTAGAACGTTTAAAACCATCGAAAGGATTTTTTTGTCATAATTCGGTAAAAATAAGTTTTAAAAATTTGGTTCTTCCTTTATAGATTGTATATAAAACTTAAATGGACTCATTACCCTAGTCCTAAATCCCTAATTCTGGTACTAAATTCTAACTAGGAGCAATCTGATGACCTCTAAACTATTATTTTCAACCTTTTTAGCGTTCGAGAAGCCGTAGATTTTAAAGACATATAGAGGAACTTCATATATCATTTTTCTGCTTTACATACAGGAAAATGTGTATATGATTGGATGCCGGCTCAATGGTCTAGTTGATTAAGCTCTTGGCGCGAGAATGATAGGTCCTGGGTTCGAATCTCGTGGGGTGTGGGATCGTGGATGCGCACTGCTGAGAAGTCCCATACTAGGACGAAGCAGCCGTCTAGTGCTTCCAGGTTTTCCATGGTGGTCTAGCTTCAATTGACTCATGATTTCAATCTGTGAAATTTCTAAAATTTCCACAAACCTCTTCTGATAAACATCTAAAAAATCTTAATAACTATCGGTGGATATTTGGAGAATAACTTCATGTAACCCAATTAGTAAATATCAATAATTAAAATAGCAAGGCAGATGTATGCAAGAAAACTGTGGTTTTGTGGTAATAATCACTTGATAAAAAAGGGAAATTGGAAATAATGTCTGTTGATAGCGACTATGACATTAAAGACCAATTCTACGAGTGGCTGCAATCATTTATAGAGAAGTGCCCAAAAAGGACCTCACCATTCTGGTGAGAGATCTAAACGCCAAAGTCGGAAGAGACAACACCGGAAATGAAGATATCATGGGACGACATGGACTGTCTGGGAGAGAGAAACGAAGATTGGGAAAGATTTGCAAATTTGTGTGCATTCTACAAATAGGTCACCTGCTGACTCCCTCTATTGACCAATAAATAAATCTCGGACATTTGCAACTTGTATGCGGTTATTGTTATATAGAATATAGCATTAGATAGTGTGTATAGTTTCTGACTTGGTTATTTGTGCTGTACAAACTTCATACTCACGAATAGTTCTCAGTGTCAATACAACAAACACAACGCATTATACGATTAAGAAGGACAGGAACATGAAATACGGAGAAGTTTGTTGCAGCAGCAATTGATCAACAAACCGAATTCGAAGATAGTTAACAACCGAATGACCACAGAATATTCTCAAACAATCCCGTTTGATACAAACAAACTGAAAATGTACAATCATTCGAACTTTTAAGATAAATCTAGTAGTATGCAACTGGTCGATTACAAATTGACAGTTCAGGAACTTTGATCTAAGGGATTACTTTTGTAGTTACACACAATGTCTAAATAGAGCCTCACTCAACACTCCTAATGTCAATTACCATGGACCGTTCGAAGTATGATCGATTCCAAACTGAATGTTGAATGAAGTGATCTGAAATTTGCTTGTTAAATGAATCTATGACCGTGGATAAAATTAGGGAAGCATCACTCGGAGAATGTCATGAGATTCACTTACAGTAGATGGTAATTTGAAATTCAAACCCATGAATGACGAAAAACAAAGTTGGTTGAAATTAGTGGATATTACAAATCAGTACGTTACGAAACCAGACCCACAATTTAAGGTGTTGACTAAATATCACCAGCAAGCATTGAAAAAACTTATGAAAGACGAAACAATATTACTACTTCGTCCAGATAAGGGTTCCTGTGTAATCACTGTAAACAGAGATGAATACATTGGGAAAGTAATGTTAATTTTAAATGATTCCACTAAATTTATCGTCGATAATACCCAGAAAGACCTAACAGATGCGACTGAGAAGCGTCTATTAAAAAATTTGAGAGAATTCTTGAAGAAAAATCTAATAGATAATCATACATACAACGGACTCAAACCAAAAGGATCACAGTTACCATACTTATACGGCCAACCTAAAACACACAAACTCGACATCCCAATAAGACCAATATTATCTATAACCAGATCACTCTTCCATAAACTCGCCCGCTGGCTGACAAGGTGCTTAGAACCAATCCTTAAGAAACTAGCACCCTACAGTCTGAAGGATAATTTTGAATTTGTGCAAAAGCTTGATAGTCTAATTGCTTCTGATAAATTCATGGTCTCGTTTGATGTCTCATCATTCTTCACAAAGATCCCCTTGGGAGAAACGGCAGATATCATATGTGAATATCCTGAACTTCTGCCTTTACCAATCCATGAATTTAAACAGCTCCTGTTTCTGCGTACCAAAAACATACAATTTCACTTCAACAATGTGTTGTACAGCCAAATTGATGGAGTAACCATGGGTAGCCCTTTGTGTCCAATTCTGGGAAACCTTGAACAGAAGAAGCTCAAGCACATAATCTATGGAACTACACTCTATTGTAGATATACTGACGACACATTTCTCGTCTGAAACAATCATAAGCATTCCATGAACCTAATTAGTCTGTTTAATAGAGCACACAAGGATAGAGATTTTACTATGGAACATGAAGTACAAAGGTAAATTCAATTTCCTTGATATTGGAGTCAGACGAACATCAGATGGCACATTACCGCAAAAATACATGGAGTGGAGTTTATCTCAATTACTACAGTTTCTGTCCAATGAGTTACAAGAAAGGTATTGTTCGAACCCTTTTCGACTGCGCACGCAAAATTTGCTCAAAGGAATGCCTGGAAGATGAAATTGCTCTCATCACAAATTGTCTACGTGAAAGTGCATATTCGTCGAACTTCATCCAGAAATATGCAAAAACCAACCCTCGGGTAAAGTATGATAGAGTGGAAAAGAAAATCTGCTTCTTATACTTACGCTTTAAACGAGACGAAATCACTGAAATAATTAATTGCAGAATAAATTCCGCGTTGAAACTGACCTATACAGCAGCAAGACTGACGACGCTATGGGAAACGAACTGCTCGCTCAAACAAAATAAAATTAACAGGTTCTCTTTTCTCAGTAGCTCCGACTGCATTTACCAATTTACATGCACGTACCAAAGCACATACATTGGAAGAACCGAGAGAAGAGTACATGTTCTCATTTCTGAGCATGTCCTAAATGAATTGAGATTGTGAGAAACAAGGGCTCTCAACAATGCAATAGCTCAGCATTTACTTGACACCGGGCATATCATTGACATCCTTTATGCTTTTGAAATTATTAGCATACAAAGAAGTTCGGCTTCTCCGTTTTGCCGAAGCGATCGCGATAAAAAACTTAAACCTGACCTATGTATTCAAAAAGAGATAGTAATAAACCCATTACTACCCCAGTAATTCAATCTTTTGGTCATTAGTTTTATTTTGTTAATGTTTAGTTTGTTATATTTCTCTTCCATTACCGAATTTCCCTTCACTCATACATTTCCACTCACTTGATTCCCATAAATTATGTAAACACTTCAAATCCTATTCAATTACGTAACCCATCTTATCACTTTTTTTAATTCCATGCATCCTTCATTACTACTAAAATTATCACATAATTTATCTTGTCTCTGAACTTCACTCAACGATTACATTACCCATCCTTAATGTTTCCTTGATTTGAACACATAATAACTTTTGACCTGTTCTTGCATATATATATTTATGTCAACTACTCCACACTATATCTTCCCTCAATGTAAAATTCTAATACATATTTGGTTGTAATCAGCTGATGAGAAACCACGATATATAATGAATTCATATTATTCTGCATCCATGTTCGTTCTGGCTTTATATTTAAATTCATTAAGGGAACTCGTTACATGAAATTTCAGTGTGTTATTAGTAAATGAAGCTAATAAAGTAGGTCACTGAGTTATAAATTAATTATTGATTAGTAACACATTTCAAGTTCTGAGTTAGATTCATCAAAAAGATTGAAATAGAGCACTTGAAACTATTAATAAACTAAGATTAGATAATTATTTAGTGTTTCCTGTACTCAATATTACTTTTGGATGAATATTAATTTATGATGAGCATAATTTACATATTAAGAAATTTCTAACAAATTTCAGATATCAGTATAGAGTTGTGGAGATTATTAAGTTTTTGATTGAGATCATGAACCGATTGATGTTAGACCACCATTGAAAACTTGAAAGCACTGAACGGCTGTTTCGTCCTATCGTGGGACTCCTCAGTGGTGCGCATCCATAATCCCATCCCTCGCGAGATTCGAACCCAGGGTCTTCCGTCTCGCGCCCGAACACTTAACCTCCGGACTACTGAGTCGGCATCCAACGGTGTTGATGTCTAGCCTCAACCAATCCACGAAATTTCGCGGCCATCTTCCACTGTTCTGATGTAGATACCTGTCTCTACCCGACACGGATTAGCTCCATTGCTTAGGAGTCCCAAAATAGGACGAAACAGCTGTCCAGTGCTTTCAAGTTTTCAATGGTGGTCTAACATTAATCGGTTCATGATCTCAATAAAAAAATTTCATATATTTATTATCATAATCTTTTTAATAATGGAAAGTTTCCACGACCAAACCATCTAGCTCAGAGAACAAAACTCCACCAAAATCATCCACCTGAGCTACAAAACTTCTCCACTGAGTATTATTTTTTTAACTATACTACATTTCCATTTCCTGATTTGTTTTAATCCTATATAGATATGAATTACTGAATTCTGTTTGGTAAAATAGTTCAGTGTTCAATAGATTACCTCATACATTTTCTATTCATGATTTTTTTGTGTGTGTCTAGCATTAAAGAGTTATGTACTCTTTTGATTTTCACATTTTTAAAGTCTGTGTATGTTACTAGTTCTTCTTCTGCTTATTCATTGTTTGTAGACTCTTTGATTCTCTGGATACTTTGAAATTCTTTCCGAATAGCACGTGGTAAGTTATGTGAATGATTATTTTATCTTAATAATAAGATAAACTTTTATTCTGAATATGATAGATTGTAGTGTTTATTGATTATCATTTGTTACGTGAGGGGTGCATTACTGCTCTATGTTACCTAGTCGGAGGAGATTATTCTTCTAAGGTGTCTATGAATGTTTGATTTAACCAAAGTGGACTCATAAATCATTTGTTTATTTAGAAACCTGGATCTAATGTAGATCACTGGTTTGGAGTCATAGTTTTTTAACCCCTGTATGTTGATCCCCAGTATCCACCTACCGAAATTTCGCCCAACTAGTCCAACCCCCCTCCTCTCTTTTTTGTGTAGGCACTAATGTAAAATGAAATCATGGAGTAAGATTTGTTGATGAGACAATAATTGATGGACGACCTTTTAAGCGATGCTACAATGATCATGAGAATATTCACTTACTTGTTCGGCCTCAAAGACGGTTAGGTTTTAGAATTAGAAGTTAGGATTAGGAAATAGGTGTTATCCTTAATTTCATCGGTTTATCCATAAGTTGTAGTTTCCTCGACTTGTTACACATAATAAATGACTGGTATCTATTTATTTATCTGCGTATATAATTCTAAAACCTCCTTTCTACAGGTCAAAAAGTATTTTCATCGTAGCTACATAATAATTAGGATTTCTCGTTTATGTCTTAGTATTTATGTTCTTCTTATTAAGACTTTTTATTTTGTACAGTCCATTGAATATGGTACAATTTTGTGCTCACATTAACCGAAATATACGTTACAATACTATTTTAATATCACATGTAACAAACTGTATATGTATTGCGTTAAAATTTGCAAGATATGCTCTCGCTAAACTAATACGTTATAAAGAAGATGAATTAAATTGGAACTCTAAGTAAGTTGATCATTACATACTATTAATTTCATTACTTTGTCCACTTGAATTAAATAAGACTCACTAATGTTGTTATGATGAAAGAATTATTATTATTATTATCGACTGTTTGTTATAAATAGTGATACGAAGTGATTATTGTTTATCAAAAGCCAAACTATCCATTGTCTTCTCAAGATAACTGATTCCAATTTGATATGATTGAGCTCCACTGGTCATGACTTCTGACTCGAACTCCAATGTGAGACAAATATCTACCAGTGACAATGAAAGATAGCTGGAAAATATTGTGGATTGATTGAATTTGGAGTTATACATAAATGTGTTGTTAATTAGTGGTCTAGAGGTTACGAGTTTACGCACGAGACTGAAAGGTCTAAGTTTGATCCTCTGTGAGTTCATCAAGAATGAACATTACTTAGGAGTTTCATGCTAATATTAAATAACTATCCACTACTTCAAGGTCTTCAATGGTTGTCCAACTTAGATTTGTTTGTCATCTCAACTTTTAATGTACAAAAACTCATTAAATACTTATGTTCTATAAAGTTCCTAGATTTACAATAGTATTGTAGTGAACAGAGCATGGGTGAGGAAAATCGAATTATTACTTAGCACAAAATTATAGAGTTACTTGGTAAAATAGAAAAAATCCATACTATAATACTTAATTTGCAAAATGTTCAATAATTGTCTCGAACTTCATTGTTCTTGCATTTTCATACTAATTGCTTTCTATTCCCGTTCTTCCTTTCTTGATCTTCCCAATCTTCTGCTGCCAGACATTACATTCATGACTCGCGTCATATACTACTTATATCAATATAAGTAGCACGCACCACAGTATATAATTGAATTCTCCGTTATAAAACACCTTTTAAATTATTCTCTATTGACATTTAAATAACTTATTTCTGTTGTATTCTTCATTTTAAACAAAGAGAAATCAATCAAACTATACCAATGACTGAAACATGGAAAAAAGGTTTAGTGATAAAAAATGATTTAGAACAATTACGTAACCAATTGGATAATTTTCCAAATGTATTACATTGTATCCGTTATCGACTGGCAAGTTCTCTTTTATATAAATTTCAATCAAGTATACAAAACTACATTTATAATGAATTAAAGTTGAGCAGTATAGAACAGAAAGATAAACAAAGAGAGAATATTAAAGAAGATATAATTGTGAACAATTCTCGTTTAATTATTTATCCTGTTTTATTAAAACAATCTGAGGGTAAGTTAAAAGTATCCAATATATGAACCTTAACTATTGACTTATGATTTCACTATTGAAATTATTATAATCTCCAAAAAAACCCCTTCTGATAATAATCATCTACTCACTAGTGACTGACTTCAAGAGATATTTCGTGGAGTTCTAGTGAGAAGCCGTTACCAGTGGAGTTCAACCAGGTCTGTTGTGAGATATCAACTCACTGAAGACAATGGTGTATGGTGGCGCAACTTCGTGGATTGGTTGAAGTTAGACATTAACACCGTTGTATACCGTCTCAGTGGTCTAATGGTTAAGCGCTCGCGCGCGAGACTGATAGGTCTTGAATTCGAATCTGTCGGTGAGTGGGATCGTAGATGCACACTGCTGAGGAGTTCCAAGATAGGACGAAACGGTTGTCTAGTGCTCCCACGTTTTCCATGATGATCTAGCTTCAATCGACTCATGATTTCAACTACTGAAATTACTAAAATCTCCACAAAACCCCTTCTGACATTAACTATCCATTAATAGGGAATGAATTTTACTTTAATTCAAATTGTCTAGGTTTGTTTTATTTCTAAAGATAGATTTTTGTTGTCATCAACTGGTATGTTTTAGCTGAAAGGCCACTAGAAAACTGGTAGAATATGTAAAAAGTTTGAAGGTTCTTAGAAATGAGAACAGATATACAACCGTACTCGGGATAAAACTCAATACCACTAGGTTTAACAAGGTACATTATACTTTTAAATATACCGTTAGGTTAGAATACAATGGTCTATATTTTCGCTTTTAGTTAATTCTTGATACGGATAGATAATCAGTTTATTGTAATCAGATAGTAACTATATCAACCTCAACATTTACATTAGCGAATTATTGTGTAGTAATCAATGTCACATTTATCAACTTACTTAGTGCTGATTGATCAAGTTATGGTGTAAGAATTAGTCTAAGTTACTTGACATTGTGTACACTATGTTTTGATATTATGTGGTTGGGATCAGTCAGCAGATCAGTAAAGGCCCGAACAAGACAATGGTAACTAACGTCTTAGCATGGTAATCTTGATAGAGCTGTTTTAAATCCCATCGGGTAGCACTAATCGTATCAAGATTGCGGGGACAGCCTGCTGAAAACTGCAAACTAATATGTCACGCATGTCGAAGGTTTTCTATCCGCTGTCTCTCATCGCCTACGCAATTTTAACATGATTTAACTTCACCGGTCATAAGTTTGTTGGATTTTTAACTTGAAACAAACCATATCATACAAATAACTTAAGTTAAACTGTCAAGAACTGAACTAGAGTACTACTCGCAGACGTCCCAAAAAATGTTTTCTTAGTTACAGAATATAGGTTTGAAAGTGGCCAATCTAAAATGTAATTAAAAGTACACAACATAACCGTGTGAAGAACCTTTAAGTATCGTAACGAGTACAGGATTATTCATTCAAGATATCTAATACAAAATGTTTACAAATTAACTAGTAACGGTTTGCAATTTTTTGTTTTCAAAATTAAGGACCCAATTTGGATTAATCTATGTTAACATACATGCATCCCCTGAAGACCATCTTTAGTTACAAGTCTTGGTAGATTCGTATTATCTGCCTTGTCAATTAACGTGTTGATATTTAAAGCACTAATTATTGGGTTTGATTTACAAAATGAACATTAACACTAATGAGACATGATGATGAGTTCCAAATAAGACGAAGTGCGTCCCACCTATTGATTTCCATATTGAAACTCAATAGCTGTCCTTCCAAGCATCAACACGTTATTTGTAGAGGTAGCCTTAATATAAATATATAACTAAAGAGGTTAATATAGAGTTAATCCTTTCAGGATGCATGCTTACTGACAAAAAACTAAATAAACTTCATACCTCAATATCAGTAATAAGATAACACAAACTCTTATTATTATGTTAAACTATGTTAATTAATCTTATTTTGTCTATTTCCTTTTGAAAAAACAACAACCCAACTTTATATTCATACTCAAATCTTCATGTTATTAAAGAACCAAGTCAATTACTTCTTTGGCCACCATCTGTCACTATGGTAAATATTTTCAATTTGACATTTGAACAATTCAAAGAATCATTACATTTAAACAAAATAATATTAGAAAATCAACTTACACAAATCTATTTCAATGAAGAGAAAGAAATTGATAACATTTGTGAAATCATTGATAATCAAGTGGATATTCATTCTATTATTCAAATGTTTTATAAAAATTCTAATTTAATGAATAGAAATTATTTAAAACATACAACTATGATTTCATGGAATAGAATGAATCCAAATGGTTTAGAAGTAACCAATGTGTCTATTCGTGATATGATTAATTGTTATCTACCAAGTTATACAGAATTTGTGAAAGGTTAATGAATGAAGTCTTTATATATATATGACCCAGTTTCTGTTCAGTTATTCGTCCAAATTTTGACGAATATCCAGATAAATGATGGAACATGTTTATCTTTCATATGTTCTAATTAGACAGTCGAAATATATTTACTTTGTCCACTCACCCCTAGATATAGATCACGACATTATAAAAGTGAAACATGGTCGATAAGGGTAGAGGATATTCGTAGGTTACTAGTATTTGATCACAGGTGTCTTCAAAACATTGCTCGTATATTCTGGGACCATGGAGTAAGTAATGCAGTTGTTAGGAAACGGGTACTAGGTAAGGATGGCAAATCAATTGATGAAGTAGTGAAACTTCATCAGTTGAGATGGCTGAGACACGTGTTACGTATGTCCAACCACCGACTGCTCCGACGTGAGATGTTTCATGTTGTAGGAGTAGGTTGGAAGAAGGCTAAGGGTGGCCAGACCAAAACATGTCACAAATTCATGAAGTCACTGACAAGTGGACTGCGTCATGTTGGTAGGTGTAGACTACCTGGTTGGGGTCCGCGAGATGATATCAACCTATGGTTAGAGATCCTGAACGACATGACTGTAAATTGTTTGCAGTGGAGCACGTGCATCCACTCTTTGTGTTCTCCCAAATTCTAATCTTCTGAATCCTTCATGTCCCTTTCTTTTTTTTCCTTCCAAATTTATTTCACTGGATTATACTCGTTGAATAACATTTTCAAACCCTAATCTTTCCGATTACTGCTTATACTTTTACTACCTTTACCAGTATGGGATTTGAATCGACAATTGCACCTCTGTGCTAATTTGGTATGGCAACTTGAACTGATGTACGTATGTACGAATTTCTACGTTGTTACTGACTGATGACCACGACTGCCCCTCCTAAGGTATATATACCCAATCATACATAAAAACTCTTCAACAAAATGGAATGTGTTACACTTGTTTACTTGGTATTCGGGTTTTAGGTGAAGCATAGATCTTGGCTTTTGGTCAACGATGAGTTAGGCTTTGTTCATTTCGTCCTCATACAAGATTATATGAGCCACTTCTGGATGGTGGTTTTTTTAATGTTATAAGCATATTAGACTAAAAAAAATTATGGATTTAATGTTGCTTTATAAATTTTAATGAAGATCCATTTTACATGAATGTTTTGGTTAAAAGTTTTGCTTTATTTTTCTTTCCTTCAATAGTATCATTTGTGCGAAAACTGATTTGTCCGCAGTTTTGATACTATTTAATATAATGAAATTATCAGTTTACTGTGCCTTTCTAAGGTGGACTACATAAATAAATTCATTGTAACGATATATTTAATTAGTTTTGTATGGAGTGTTTGTGAGCAAGGTAATTCGTACAACTCACTTTTGTTCACTGATTGAGGACAGTCAAAAGAAAGCTTCTAAACTTACGCTTCATTTCAGTCGAACGAAATTGTTACCCTTTCCGCTAATAGAAATTACATCTTAATATGTCATAGTCAGATTACTAGCATGTCGTGCTGAGAAGTGACTACTAGTAAAAAATGTAGATCCACAGCCACTTTCTATTTGTCTTCAATCAAGTAACATAAAAGTAAAATGCATCTCTAAGTAGAGTTACTTAGTTTAGGTGGCTGCGCTGAAAATCTGATCAATATAGTTCGATCAACACTGAAGATTAGACAAGATAACAATAGTTGAAAAACCTAAAAATTAGTGCATTGTTTCAAGTTGATACTAACAAATATGTCAAAAAATATATGAGGCAACTTAAAAGAATGTTAAAATGGAACAGAAAAATAAGATGTAAGTAACAAAGAATTAAATGGAAATATAGTTGTAGATTTTCCAGGACTTATAATGAGTCTGTGAATCTTCATCAAAAAATGTTTTTGGCATGTATCATGGATACCCAAACACTATTTATCGTAAGCTGGTATGCTATCAAGGAGAGAAGTAAGTTGGAAAGAGAATAACACCTGTCAAACAACAATAAAAATTTGGAACCATGAATTTATTAAATATTGTACTGAGTTCAGTTACTTATTTCATGATTTAAATCTTAGAGATAATCACAATCTGTGATCACTATATTTAATTGATATGGTCTACATTTGATAACAGTGATGCAAATGAATTCGACTATTAAGTCGTGCATTTTTTATGACTGAGTGAGTGTATAATCAGTAGAAAAGTGAGTTGGGTCCCATTGATACATAAATCCAGCCGATTAGCTATATGAAGCGACGACGAGATTCCAACCAAGAAGCCGAATGGTTAGATGTCCGTTGTGAGACTAAAGTTTTTGGGTTAGATCTCTGACGGACTCGTGGATGTGGAGGGATAAGGAATCCAGGGCTTCCAGGTTTTCCATGGTGGTCTAGCTTCAGTTAACTCATGATCTCAATTATTAAAATTACTATAATATCCAAAAAGACCCTTCTGATATTAATCCCGTACTAGTTTGAACCAGTTGTTCAGTGCTTCCTGCTTTTTGGTGATGCCACAGATGAGACCAATCCTCGAGAATGCCACTAACAAATGAATAAAATTGTCTGAAAGTTTATTTTTTAATTTCAAACAATCTGAATTTTAGGCCTTATACCTGAACATCAGTTTCACTATAATCAGTCGATATTATCTGGTATGGATCTGGATCAATCCCATCTTAATATTAGTGGTCATAATTACTTCCCTACCATTGAAAATGCATCTCAAATGGGATTACATTCTCTTATTGAGCAACAGTGAGTCAAGCTAATCCGAATTATTTTTATCTCATTTCATTTAAATATATATGAAGAGTAGTTTGTTGCATATTTCGCTTGATTTTTCACCAATGAAAAGTTCAAATCCTGTTCTAACCAAGTTAAGTTTAAACAACTAGTTGACATAATTAAACTTTGTACAAAACGTTTGAGTAGAAGTTGAGTACACGGAGTAGTATTGTGGTCATTGAATTCAGTTGTCTTATTTTACGAATAATCTCATTATATGTAAAAATTATATTTGAATTAATCTCAGTGATTGACACTTAAATAATTCCAACGTTTCGTTCAGCAAACTTGTCTGAACTTCTTTCCTTCAAGAAGTCTACATTTGTGAAGAGATTTAGTTAGACACTAACCCACTATGTAGGATGAAAATTGAGAAATAAGTCACGCAGTCGATACCTTCAACTGCTTCACTCCCTAAAATTAATTTCACTGTTGTCATGGACTGAACCTTAAGCAACATTTTGCATCTAGAATAAAAGAAACGAATCCAAAGCATACTTGTATTGTTGCTTAAAGCGATTAGTAGACTCCTCATCTTGTCAATATCTTAACTGTATAGGAAAATGTCATCCGAATTATTTTAAATTTCCTGGCAGGAAATAAACTCTATGATTTATCAAAAGGTTTGATAAGTTGAAGATATGAACCATTGAGTTTTGGCTCAGTGATCTACTGGCCACTTGTCCGCTGTTTTACTTAAAGTGTCTAGGTTCTATTTCGCATGAAACTATTGGTTGGATACCGTTAAAGATGAAATAAATTTACAGTAGCTCTTTGTTTTTCAATAATTCTGTTCAAATTATACTAATTCTTAATGGCTACTATCTAGATCAAATAATTATTACGATCACTACTAAATATTGTTCCAGAATAGATGGAATGAACTATTGGCTGTCTAGACTCATCAGCTAATTGAATAACGTGGTGGCAATTGAAGCGAACGGTACTGGGTTTAAGTTTCGGGATAGATATGAACTCTAGAATGCAGGTACGTACACATGACGAGTCCAAGATACGACGAAACGCTCGTCATGGATTGTATTGCTAGCTACATTTCATCTATTCTGTACTAAATTGTGTCATAATTAGCTATATCGAGGCAATCCTCAGCGGATGGACACGTGCCAACCAAGACTAATAAAAATTCAGTCGAAATATCAACAACGAGATAATTCAATACATTTTAATTTAGACTGTAAACTATTCTATTTATAGATGTGAAGCGATGAAACTTTATGACTGTTTAATGACTTCATGGAGTGACAGAATACATGAAAAGACGAATGATATAATTCTATCTTTAGAATGGATTATCAATATGGATGAAACAATAAATGAGTTAAGTATACTATTAAGAAATGAAGATTTACATACAGAATTTCATAAACATCAAGTGAGTCATTCAAGTAGTATGTTAAGACACATTTCAATTCTAACAGTTGTTTAAAAAAATTGTTGCATACGTTTGACGATGATTTTCACCACAAACTGATATCAGTTGTAGAATAATAGCTCAAATGCTTTCCGCGAAAATTAATAATAATTGTATATCTATTAAAGTTCGGATTTATTTAGCAGAGTTTTGTTGTTAGGTCCTCGGTTCGAATCCCGCGAGGCGAAGTCGTGAATGCGCACTGCTGAGGAGTCCCACAATAGGGTGAAACAGCCGTCCAGTGCTCCCAGGTTTTCCATGGTGGTCTGGCTTCAATTGACTCATGATCTCAACTATTGGAAAAATCCAAGATCTATTGTATTGCATTAATTCAAAAGTATAGAAGTTACCGACAGAAAATATTAAATAAAAATTAGACTCTACTGTAAACTCAATTTTACTGGGCAATTTAAACTATTGAATTTTCATCCTATGATTTAGTGACATTATTATATCTTTAAAATCTTAAGATCTTAGATTTAGTACCATCTGTTGACTTACGTTTTGAACTTCATTAATCCAAAGATATGTTAACTGGTTGAAGGTAGTTGGCAGAAAACGTAAGACTTATGTTTCGTGCTAGTTGATACTCATAAGCTATTTGCACTCGCGATCTTGAAGCAACTTATGCTTTACAGGATTCGGACTAATATACTCCACTCCTACAGTCTGAGATAGCACACTTGAGCTGTTTGGACCGAGTTTTATTATCTGTTAGATAAATAAAATTGAATCGATAGATCACTACTGAATAATAGACATCAATTTTGTTAAGCGTTAGTGTTGATTGCATCCTACCGGTCCGATTGAGATGTAATCATCAGTTTAAGTGACTTGCTTTAACGTGCTCTATGTCTTGACGTTATCTGCTTGAAGGTAGTTGGAAGAAAGTTTTGAACTTGGGTTTCCTACTAGTAATGAATATTCCCCGATCACTAGTGACTACTGTCTCGTGTTCAAAAACATTGGACTTTATTGAATCTCTTGAATTTTATTTGGAACTCTTAGAATTCAGTTTAAAGTTGATCACTAGTGAATACATGGTTATTGCTTTAAAGAAAGCACCTTTATTTAAAATAAATCCTTATGAATTTCGCTTGTGAATTGACTGAACATTAATTTTCATAATCATACTCATACACCTAATCCAATACTGATTACTCTAATAACAATTTAATCGAGACAATTTCAGCTGATTATTAGATGTTCTGTTTTTCATGTTTTAAAATGTGTACAAATTACAACATACATGAAAAAAAAACATTTTGACTGAACTCTAAGTATTATTGGGCTTCTATCTATTATTTTACAACACGGAGAACACCAAGCCAATCACACTTGATGGTGAAACTCTGGAAGATGTAGAATCCTTCACATACCTGGGAAGCATCATCGATGTACAAGGAGGTTCAGATGCAGACGTAAAGGTGAGGATTGGCAAAGCAAGGGCCGAATTCCCACAATTGAAGAACATATACAACTCAGAACAACTTCCAAGCAATATCAAAGTCAGAATCTTCAATACGAACGTCAAGACAGTTCTACTGTAACTGCCGCAACCATCACTAAGAAGGTACAAGTATTATAAATAGTTGTCTTCGCAAGATACTCAACATCCATTGGCCGGACTCCATCAGCAACAGCATACTGCGGGAGAGAACAAACCAACTTCCAGATGAAGAGGAAATTAGGAAAAGACGATGGAAATGGATAGAACATACATTTCGGGAATCACCAAACTGTATCACGAGGCAAGTTTTAACTTGGAATCCTGAAAGGAAGCGAAAAAGGGGAAGGCCAAAGAATACATTACGTCGAGAAATAGAAGCAGATATGAAAACGATGAATAACAACTGGAAGGAGCTAGAGAGGACTGCCCAGGACAGGGTTGAGTGAAGAGTGCTGGTAAGTTGCCTATGCTCCTCCACGACGAGTAACAGGCGTAAGTAATCAAGTGAATACCTATTATTTTAACTGGCAATAAGGACGTTTGGTACTGTTGTGTCATCTGAGCTAGAAACAGACGCCAAAGATTTTGTTCAGAATGATGATGAAAGCTCTTCATTTAAACAATTTAACTAAGAGGATACAATACCACGATAAAGATTTACATGAACTACAAATCTTCTCCCTATCAATTCTCTAGTAAAAACAATCTTACGTAATAAGAACCAGTTTAACCAGCATACAACATATTTTAACGATCTTTTATTAAATTTTATTCACCTTATTTTTAGCGCTTATTCCAAACATCATTTCAATTGGTCAATCGTTTAATAAATCACGTTAAATATGAAAGTCTTTTAAATGACAATAATGATAATAATAATGATTTACAATGCTTCATTTTAATTGACTATAATCCATTATTTAATTTATTATATAATGAAATTACAGAGAAATTAAGTAAATTATTTACAATATTTATAACAATAGTTCAAAATTCATTAATATCAATCAATAATCAATTGGATGATTTTATTCAAGTAAGTTATGTAATGTTGTTTGATAAATGATATATGAGGTCTTGGTTACAAATTTGTACTCACCTACTCCATTGTTGAATAATTTTTCATGCTTTCACCTCTTCGCATTCATGTAACTTGTCATCCGGTTAAATGATTGGTTTTAATGATTATATAACCTATTATTATTGTTGTTGGATATGCCCCCCAAATGCCCTGGTACGGCTGGGAGTGGGGAGAGTTCGCTCTTCCTCTTGAAATGCTCCCAAATAGCCACGCGTATATAGCCTCTGCCAGGGAAGTCCTACTCACTGCTTCTCGTGGTGAGGGTGTTGTTTACGAAATTGAGAGGACGAAAAGCGAAACTCCGTCGCTTTAACTGGGTTGGTGGACACGGAGGATCCACCTAGGGAAGTTGGGAAACCCTGATTACAAACTAATGGTGCACATAAGCTCCAGTATCCTGAAGAAATAAATGGTGTATGAACCAATCGTTGGTCACCGGTCACCATGGGAATGCATCTCCTTATGATGCTCCACTGCCTTGTGGACCATACCTTTAGGTCAAAGGCACTCAGGCAGTATCACAGCCATCATACTATAATACCTAATTTGCAAAGTGTTCAATAATTGCCTCGGACTTCATTGTTCTTGCATTTTCATGCTAGCTGCTTTCTATTCCCGTTCTTCCTTTCTTGATCTTCCCAATCTTCTGCTGCCAGACATTACATTCCTGACTCGCATTATATACTACTTATGTCAATATAAGTAGCACGCACCACACTCGTCTCCCCTTTTAATAAGGTATCGTCACAGTCTTTCTGATCGCCGTACAGCTATCTTCTTTGGTGCTGTTCGTGAGTCACACTCATAATGATCTTGGAACCATCTCTGCAGTTGACTGGCATTTACGCGCTTCTGCTTTTCTTCTCTCTGGATCGTGTAAACCGAGCTACGTCTCTCCGTGATAACATACGGTCCTTCCCACTTTGGGGTCAGCTTTCCCGACCCTGATCCCCCTGCTATGTAACTTTTCCATTCTCTACACTTCTTTTCCACGTTCCTTATTGCCTCCCTCCTCTCTTTTCTTGACCTTGTTGTCGTCCACTTCTGTTGTTGTGGTCAGGTCTTATTATGCATTGAAAGTCGTGGCTGTCTGCCATACATGAGCAGGAAAGGTGACTTCTTGGTTGTTCCGTGTATGGAGGAGCAATGCGCCAGCAAAATCAATGGTAACTCTTTCTCCCAATTTTCTCCTTCAGATGCTAACCATTCCTATAACGTCCGATTGTTTCTTTCTGTAAGCCCGTTTGCCTGAGGATGATACGATGTAGTTCGTATCCTCTTGATGCCAAACTGCTTTAGACGGGCTTTAAACTCGTCACTTTCAAAAGAGGGACCCTGGTCAGTTAATATCATCTTCGGTATTCCGTGACACGCTACAATATGCCTGATTACCACTTCGGTCACTGTTTTTGCCCGTTGGTCTGCAGTAGGTACGGCATCTACCCAACATGTAGCATGTTCCGTCATCACTAGCAGGTACTGGTTACCGCTCGCCGTCTGTGGAAACGGTCTCATCACATCTACCGACCATAGATCACCGACTGCGGTTACTGGGATTGACTGTAATGGAGGTTGTGTGTATCGATCACTTTTCGTTAGTTGACACTGCTGGCAAGTTAACACGTACTGAGCCAAATGTCTCTCATGCCTGGCCAGTATGCACTTTGTCGTAGTAAATCCGTCGTTCCTGCGATGCCTGTATATGCTACCTGGTGACACCCGTGTATCATCTTACGCTGCCAGTCTTTCGGGATCACAGCCACCCAATTCTCGTCATCGTCCTGCCAGGTCAGGACTGCAATATTTTTTTTTATGGTAAGAATTTTCTTCAGCAATGGTTTTATTTCTCCACTTCCCACTTTATGTCCCAACAACGTGACGCAATTTCTAGCTATCTGCGACTTGACCTTATTAATTCGTCAATTCGCTTTAAGACCGCTTCCACACGTTTGACGTGATCTGTATCTGCCTGTCTGTGCACAATTACATCGTCGCCATATACCTCAAAATTATCTAGATTCTTGAGCAGTAGTGCCAATAATCTTCTGAACGTAAACGGTGCACCTGCCAAACCGAACGGCATTCGTTTAAATTGGTACTGCTTATCACGTACAGTAGACGCTGTCTTGCTTCGATCGCCCGACCGTTGTTGCTGCCTTGACGTGGAGGTCGGGCTTGTTTATCGTGATGAAGCAACCGAGCTATATTGGCTGGAACAATCGTTCCTCAAGGTCCTACCATGTCAGACAGGTTGGTTGAATAGCGGTAAGACTAAAAACAACAAACCCAAAGTCCAAAGGCGAACTCGTACTGCTGACTGTACAGACGTGTGACAGCAGTAAGGTGTTTCCTTCACACAACCAACATGACAGTGATGCTGCCTTCCCACAAGGAGGGGTGAGGTTAGAAATGATCGACCCTAAAAATGCACACCTCGCCTCATCCCACGGATATCCGTCTCCGGCGGTAAGGTCTCAACAATTATGGGGCTAACACGAAAATTACTCACGAAAAGGTCGTGTGTGACCGACCTCAAGTAGTTGTCCGTTGGGCACTGTGGTCACGCTCTCAGGTCATTAAGACCACTTCTAATCCAATTTCCTTTTCAGGTACCTCCAGAACAACCCTTCCACGGTGTGAGCAACCGGGAAGTGATAACCGCCCGCATACCTCTAACAGCACTCAAGACTGACTGCTTTGATCGCTCTGTTTTATAGGCAGTTGCCAATAACCTGACCGTAAATCCAGCGCCGTCCCCACTGTGGCATTCCGTAGCCGATATAATCTTTCCACCACTGTTGGCATTGCACAAGGTTTCAGGTCTGCTATATTATTCAATTATCTGAAGTCGACACAAAATCTATACTTCCCATTCGGTTCCTTTACCAAGAGTACCGACGAGTTATACGGACTGTCCGCTTCCTCAATTATACCTTCTTTCAACATTTCCTGGACCTGTCGATTTAGCACGGCCTCTAAGTGCACCGGGACACGACTTGTCGTAAATATATTTACTCGATCGTTCTTTATCGGGAATTCGTGCTTTACTTTGTCGCAGAATCCATACGGCCCCCCTCTTTCTAGTGAACAGTTTCGCGTACTTTGTGCACAACTCGTTAATGTTTGGTTTCTTCGTCGAGATGTCCGTTGCCACTCTTATTTCAGTCACTTCGCTACTTTCGCGTATTGATAATGAACCGTACTTTGTGACCACCTTACCGCTTCTTATTTCAACTATCGCTCTTACTTCTCTTAGGAAGTCTGCTTCTAATATCGATCTCGATAAGCTTGTGGTTGCCACAAACGGAAAATTTATCTCAGCGTCGCCTACCTTTACAACACTGTTAGACACCCCCAACTCTTCTAACATGTGCCCTCCTATGGTGTGGACAGCTAATGTACATGGCTTGAGCCTCTTAAATTGCTATTTGCCTGTTAAGAATACTGCTGCCCCTGTATCGATCAGATACACTAAATCCCGTTCATTTATGTTCACTCTCGTATAAACTGCCCCTCTATCTACTAGTGCAACAACCCCCAGATTCCTAGGGTAGAAAGAACACATGTTATAACGTCTAAAATATCTGCGTTTTCTTCTTGTTGGACAGTTTATCTTCCAATGTCCTGTCCCTCCACAAGCGTAACATTTATCACTCCTTTTATGATTCACTCGTATTGCCGCAATTTCACGCTCCAGCTCTTCAATCTTCTTCTCGACGTTATTTATCTCCCGCTTTCCGCACCCGACCGAAGCTACTGTTCTTGTCATCAGCTGTCGAGTCACCTTCGCCAGTTCACTAATATCCATAGGTTGCGCCGCGTTTACTATTTTCAGTTGCTGGGAAACGGTGGCAGGCACACCTTCGATAAACTGCGACGCCAATAACTGTGCATCAGACTCTTCATCTAGATTCGGCAGTGCACGGCACAACAACCTGGTTAGCTCCACAGCCAGCACCAGTGGGTCACCATCGACCGACAACCTCGCCAACCGGAACTCCTACAGTGCCTCCTCCCTGTCCGCCGGGCTGTCGAACTCAGCCATCAACCGCCCCGTGACTGTCTTCCATGCCGTCTTTCCGCCAGCACCATCCAAGCTGTCATATACAGCCTTTGCCCTGCCTCTCAGCATCGTCCCCCACGCACCAAAAATCCTCAAATTTTTTGTTAGGAGTAAGAAAACAAGATCATAGCTGGCTTGTTACCGAACAACACTTCGGGAACGCAAAAAAATAGAATCAATTAAGATGATAGGATCAAAGTACAAAGAAGGAATAATATTAAGGAAATAAGATTTGAGATCTATTTTAAAAGATGAAATATTTTGTACTTTAATAAATGAAGAACTGAAATCCATGTATACATTAATATATCAAATTGTTTTGAAGAGATTATCAAGAGAAACTGGACTCACGTTTTATGCTTGTTGATAGTTTACAGCAAACAGTATCTTTAATCTACAGAGAACTAATTCCTCTCGTGTTAATCTAACCTAAATCAATCAATGTTACAATTAGAAACATTACCATTTAGCTATATGACTAAGTTTGAAGAGTATCGGATTTAAAAACAAACGAACAAACATATTAGGCATCTTATAGTTAAGTCAAAAAAGCTATTAACAGTACAGTTTGCTTAAATTCATATCATTCAGAAGTGGTTTTGTGGAGATTGTAGTAATTCCAACAGCGCCTGGCGCTTAACCAACTGATAGGTCCTGGGTTCAAATCCCTCGAGGCGGGGTCGTGGATGTGCACTGCTGAGGAGTCCCACAATAGGACGAAACAGTCGTCCAGTGCTTCCATGTTTTCCATGGTGGTGTAGCTTAAATTGACTCATATCATTCAGTTAAAAAATAAACAAACAAGCTCACATTCAATGTTTTGACAATGTTTAATATGTTTTTATACTTTATTATAGATACATACAAATATTCAATCTGATTTTAATGGATTCATACAAGTTGTTACCTATTTAAATCGTGTACATAATTGTCATGTGAAATTATTTAAAGACCATGATAATCTATGTCGTCAAGTTGAAGTATGTTCTAATTTTGTTTTTAAAAGTAAACATAAATGTATAACTTAGGGTGAGATTATAATATATGAAGGACTTTTGAGTGATGCTAAAGTGATCTTGAGAGTCTCCACCAACTAATTTAAGGTGAATGAAGGTTATAAAGTAGTGTGAAGAATAAGGATTACGATTTACAGTTGATGGTTAAGGTTAGGAATTAGATTTAGGGTTTTCATCACGAACAGGTATTAGCTAAAATGCTAAAACGCTATTTAGCCGAATGAGTGAATGAATTTCGCGCCAAAATCCATGACCCATCATTCTAAATCTGATAAGTTCGTCCATAAATTATAGTCTTGCCAGTTCAGTGTAAAATTCATTTTTGTATACAGACTAATTTATATCATGTATGATGTTTATTAACTAACAACTAAATACCTGTAATATTTGTAAACAAATTAGTGTACTTGATTGTAAATATCTGTCATGATTTTGAAAAGCAAATGAAATTTTAATCTTAAGTTCAAGATGTGTTTCCTGGAGTTCTAGTAAGTAGATGTGACCAATGGAATCAAATAGTGTCTGATGTGAAGCAGTTACTCACTGAAGATAATGGTGGGCGATCGTGCAATATTATGGGTTGGTTGAAGTTAGACCTTAACACCATTGGATGCCGGCCCAGTGGTTTATAGATTAAGTGACCAAAGGTCTTGGGTGCGGGATGGTGGGTACGCACTGCTGAAGAGTCACATGTTAGTGCTTCCAGATTTTCCATGGTGATCTAGCTTCAACTAACTCATTTATTCAACTATAAGATCCGTAGTTGTTTATTGAAAATACGTAACACAATTGATGAAGCAATGAGTATCTTGAAAAAAACAAAATACTTTTTTTCATTTTATTCTTCAGTTTATACAACATTTTCAAAAATGTTTAAACCATTGTGAAGAATTAAAATTCATTCAACTTGTTAAATGGTCACAATATGAACAGTTTATAATTAAATGGAAAAAGTTTACAAATCAAATTGAATGGGCTAGAAAAAAATTTCGAAGATATCAAGAAGAATTCTATCAAGTTTATAATAAAAAAGTTGAGGTAAGCAAAGATAGATAGTGGCTAGGAGTGGAATCCAGTTTGACACGCGTTTCGTCCTATTTGGGATTCGTCAGCTGGACTCCCCTTTACATTCAATTGATGTCATTTTATTGTGAAAACTAATCTTGTATTGAATAAACTGCTCAAATTCCTAATTTTATAGTTTCTTATTTTAATTTAACCCATATGTCATTGAGACTAACGGCAATCAATTGAAACAAGATGTTGAATAAATTTATTTGGCGTTGTTTACTTGTATCTTCCCATTGTTATTTAGGACTGCGATTGATCAGTCTCATGTTGACATATGTACATCCTGTGCGGATTGCCTTGATAGTGTCTGAAGTCACAAGCTTTTTGAGCAAAGATGGATAGTGGCTAGCAATAGAATCCAGGGCTCAGGTTTTGTGCTATTTGGGACTAGTCAGCTGGATGTACCTGCATCACAGAGTTGATATTCTTTCCGGGACTCGAACCCAGTACCGTTCGCTTCAAACACCATCCCGTTATCCACTTAGCTTCTGAGTCCTATCCACTATCCATCTTTGCTTAAAAAGCTTGTGACTTCAGACAATATCAAGGCAATCCGCACAGGATGCACATATGTCAACATGAGACTGATCAATCGCAGTCCTAAATAACAATGGGAAGATACAAGTAAAACAACACCAAATGAATTTAAGTTGAGGTAATATTGACAATTTTGAATGTACTAGTATCAGTGTTATATATACAAGCGATTATTGTCTATCTACCGATTTCGATAATTATAGAATAAATACTTTGGTATGCTGATATAGGTTATATAAGAAAGACTAGTTCAGTGAGGAGCTCTCTTTTCGGTGAATTCATTTTCAATGTTGTACAATCACAAATATACATAATACTTATTTTTACAGGATGATAATAATACTGATAATAAACTTCTGTTAGACATGGTGACAGTGAGGTTAAATAAACAAAGATATTAGAAGTTTTTTTATGAAGCAAGAAAAGTTTAATAATCGTTTGATTGTTATAATGGCTTAAGTATTCATCAAAGGATAGATAAGGAAGTTATCATTGGGAAAGGATGGCTCATTATGATAAGATAGAATGTTGAAATTAAGATTAAATGTAATCAGAATGATCGTGGAAACAAAAATAAACCAGTTGGGGGTAGAGGATTTTAAGGGGAAGATGGAAGGTGAAGCAGATGGCTGTAAAGGAAAAAAGAGTATGAAAAAGAGAAAAAAAATTATAAGACATGGCAGAAGAAGAGGTTGTACCAGTTTCTTTTGCACACATAATTCTAGTTTTTACAAATGTATGGCTAATGCTTCGGCAATGCAAAGAAGATCCAGTCTAATTATCTTTGGAAGACTTTTACTTGTTTTTAAAGTATACTAGTAGTTAAATGATAAGAGTTGTTTATTGTTTGTAAGTAGTACAGGATGTTTTATTCAAAAATATGTCAAATGGCAGTAAGTAACCTACAAAATTAATCTCATGCAGTTAGTTATATTTTAAGTGAGATTTAATCATTATATTCTTGGATATGGGGTTTTGTCCTAGTGAAGACTTGTCAGGTGAACTTATCAACGTCTCATACCCGATACTTTTCTCTCCAAACACAAAACGTTTTCCACCAAGGTGAAGAGTTCATTTAGTCTTTAACTTATTCGGCAAGTTTAAATTCAATTGTGAAGGTATGTATTTTCATTCCGTCAATATAAAAAAAAACGAATTTGATTAGTCTCTGCCGGAATATGTGGATACCAAGAATTTGTTTCTATTGGCAGTACTGAAGTATCTGCTTAAGATTCAAATATACATGAAGTGATTAATTACAGTCCTGTATATCAATTATGCGAAAGTAAGAAACTTAAATAGAACTTCAATTACTGTACTGAATATTTTGTAGATAAACACAGTAATCCTATGCTCCTCCATTAAATCAAATATTTAAGCAGTAAATGTCATTCCAATGTTTATTTATTTATAAATTATTGTGTGGTGTCCCTGAGAATCAGCCATTTACGATGTTCCTTTTCCTGACCGTTGTTGCTACCTTGACGTGGTGGTCGGGCTTGCTTATCATGATGAAGCAACCGAGCTATACTGGCTAAAACAATTGTTCCTCAAGGTCCTACCATGTCAGACAGGTCGGTTGAATGGCGGTAAGACTAAAAACAACAAACCCAAGGTCCGAAGGCGAAGTCGTACAGCTGACTGTACAGACGTGTGACAGCAGTAAGGTGTTTCCTTCACACAACCAACATGACAGTGATGCTGCCTTCCCACAAGGAGGGGTGAGGTTAGAAATGATCGACCCTAAAAATGCACACCTCGCCTCATCCCACGGATATCCGTCTCCGGCGGTAAGGTCTCAACAATTATGGGGCTAACACGAAAATTACTCACGAAAAGGTCGTGTGTGACCGACCTCAAGTAGTTGTCCGTTGGGCACTGTGGTCACGCTCTCAGGTCATTAAGACCACTTCTAATCCAATTTCCTTTTCAGGTACCTCCAAATGCGCCATTTGTGGCACTTAAAGATTTTAGTCGAATTTATGAGAAATAATGTACTTTTCAACATTGTTACATAAATTCATATACAAAAATATCTACTAATTTGATTAAAAGCTAATGTTTCAAGTTTGTTTTCAATAACAATAATTTCACTTTAGGAGACGATAAAAGAAGTTGAACGTTTAGTTCATTTACTTACAACTGGCAAATATTCTGATGTTAATAATGATGCACAAATGATACTAAACGACATGAAGGAAGTGAGTTTAAATGAAAGGTATAATTGTTTAATGTTATGGAAATTTAAATTTTCATTGCTTAGAATATGTATCTCTAGTCCACATAAATGTCACCCAAATATAACAGATAGTAGAGGGTTAGAGACAATCAGAGTGAAGCCCTGTTGATTTGGATTTTATTCTGATTGACATTTTAGTTTATATCACTAGATGATCTTTGCTAGACAACTATTGGAAACCAAGAAACCCTGAAAGGCCATTATTTATATTATAGAACTAATTAGTATACGACACCTTTGAATAACTGTTAAAGCACTGATCTATAATCCACTGGTTTATAATTCTAACTTACTATTTCTGGTGTAAGGTAGTTATAAACCAGAGGTAATGCAAAACAGTTGCGAAATATCAGACTAAACATGTAAACCATTGGGTTTCGGCTCACTGGTGTAAGGAGTAAGCGCTTGCAGCGAAGCCTGAAGTTCCTGAGTTTCATCTGTATTGAGATTGTGTATAGGTATTGTTAGGTAATCCGATATTAGCAGAAAATAACAATTCAATGTCTGCTTGAATACCTGGGCTGTTTTTTCTTGACATCAAGATATTTCAACAAGTTATCTGTTTTTTGTTTGTTTTTACACATCATTATGTCTATTAACCGTATGACCTATTCAGACGCGTTTATGAACTATCGCTGTACAACTTACAAAAACGTACAGTCAGAATCATTGTGGTGGCTGGCGAATTGCATCGAAGAGAATTAATATTAATCATATGTTGAGTCATGAACTGCTTAATTCTAATTGCCGATCACTAATTAGCAAGATGAACTATATCCAATTCGTATTAAATTAAAACATGTGTTGTAATTATGGGACAATCACAATTCAAGAAAATTAGTTAAGTGATCTGAAGGATGATCACTTAGTATTGCTACACGATTCCAACATCATCGTCAGGATCGGCGATGCAGTTACCCTTGTAAAGGTGAACTGGTGTCGATCTACTTTCACATGCAATTATGTTTATGTTAGCAACATTGAACCAACATCGATTGGGAGGTCCGCGGGCACTACTTTGATGTTGGGTGGGTTCAGTGGAGCTGGTGGATTCAAGAGTTCTTTGAAGTGTTCTACCCACCTGTTTCACTGTTCTTCAATGTTGGTGGTCACTTTGACTTCCTTGCTGTTCATTGGTCATTCTGGTCTGTGATAATTTCCAGCGAGTTTCTTTGTTGTGCCATACAGTTATCTCATTTTTCCTTTACTTGCAGCCTTTTCCACCGTCATTTCTAAATCTTCCATTTGTCGGTTCTCATGCTCCTCTTCACTTACTTGTTTAGTTCTGTGTATTCAGCTTTTATTTGAATCTATCAATTACTTTCAACTTATGATTATATTATGTAACCTTTTTTTGTTTTACAGCCATATTGTTATGTCATGAAATTAGAAAGTTCTATTCATCAACTTATAGATCAACATAAAACTGTTCAAAATTGTGAATATAATGAGAAACAATTTGAAAAAGCTAAAATTGATAAAATGAATCTATCGTATTCATCGAATAGATCATTGATGAATACAACGATTACATTGGATAATACACTTTATATTACAGATAATTGTCAAGTTAATTTTAAACATTTAAAACAATCATGTAAATATTTTATTGAAGCAAATAATATTTTATTATATATTGATAATGAAATGAAAAAAGTCAATTGTAGATATGATGCATGGCAACTAAATTTGAAAATTGATACATTTAAACAAGAGTTATATAAATCAAGATTAGGAGAAGTAAGTCATTGATATTTGATTTGATCTTGTTCATTACTGAAAGATTCTATGATGATTAGGTAAATATCAGTTTGAATACAGATGATGTAGGATGTTGTGGCTTGAAGTTGGGTCGATTTATACCCCGTGCCAATTGTTGCGTCCTTGACTGAAAAGATTAGAGAGCAGTGTATTATATCGATCGATTCGGGGACACGTAAAACACGTACGAACGACCTATAGTTCCGATTGGTCCTGCCTTCCTGTCTAACCCAGCCAGTTGAGTCCAGAACACAAGTCAAAACCTCTGAGATATGAATCATTGTATTTCAGACATACTCTATTTATATACTAACCAAACAGACCACATCGTACCATAAAAATAGAAAACATTTGTACAATATTTAACGAATGAAATAAATAATAGCCAATAGGAAATGTCCATTTAACGTCCAAGGTCATCATTAGACTTAACATGATAATGATTGGCACATTATTCTGCATCCATAACATAGGAGTAGATTGGAAGCAAGCTAGGGGTGGCCAGATCAAAACGTGTCACAAATCCATGAAGTCACTGACAAGTGAACTGAGTCATGTTGGTAAGTGTAGACTACCTGATTGCAGTCTGCGAGATGATATCAACCGATGGTTAGAGACCTTGAATGACATGGTTGAAAATCGTCTGCAATGGCACAGGTGCATCCACTCTTTATCTTCTCCCGAATTCTAATCTTCTGAATTCTTCATGTTCCTTTATTTTTTTTCTCTTTACAAATTTATTTCACTGGATTATACTCGTTGAATAACATCTTCAAACCCTAATCTTTCCTATTATTACTTATACTCTTACTACCTCTACCACTACGGGATTTGAATCGACAACTGGATCTGTGTGCTAATTTGGTATGGCAACTCGAACTGATGTACGTACGTACGAAGTTCTACATTGTTACTGACTGACTGACAGATGGAAAGTTATTCTATACTAATATAGAACCCTTTTTCAGTAAATATTGCCATAATATCTTCAGTGATTGAGTGCAGAATCTTTTTCATTTGGAATATTGTTCACTGTGATTTTAAATATATAACATCTTTGTTTCAGTCAATAATATCCGAAAGATTGAGTGGAGATTTTCTTCATGAAGAATAACAATAATTTAATTGAGACTCTCAAACTATACTGACTGCTTAGGGCTTACTACACTGAATCAACTATGTTGTTGAATCTTCTTGAATGTGACTGATGTTAGGGTAAGATTGGTAGTTATTTGAAATGCTAATATTAATTCAGCTTATTAATTATATAGATGTCACGGTTGAACTATGAGATAATAAATAACACTGAACATCAATGGAAGAACTCTTACTTTGTCGAATGATCATGTCTAATTAATAAAACATTGTCGTGAAGATTATAACATACAAATATCATTCATTCATTCAGTTAGTCAACTACAACGTCGGACAAGGCACATATATGCACCGGTCCAAGTTGCCATACCGCATTTGCACAGCAAGATGAATACCGGATTCCTAGAAGTATTTAATTCAATGGTGGTAGTATATAAAAGAAAGATTGTATATAAGGATATAGTACAGGAAGAAAGAATTAGTACGTAGGAAGATATGAAGCGATTTTAATCTCATAGTTTAAGGGATGACATAGAGTGTATTCACCTACGCCATTGTGATCGATTCTGAGCCATGCGTACTGAATACCTGTTTTCTTATTGTCATTCTGCTATATAGTGATTCAAAACATTCATCGTTCTCTGAGTGTTTTGTTTGATCGTTGTAATACTGATAACTTTACTTTGGTTATTGGATCGACAATCATACATATTATTATAGGAGATTTGCGGAGGTTGTAGTATTTTCACCATTGAACTCTGTAAGCACTGAATGGCACTTTCTTCCCAATATGAGATTTCACAGGAGTGTGTATCCACAACCCGAATGTAAAACTCGAACCCAAAACATTCGGTCTCACGCGCGAACGCTTAGCTTCTAGACTAGTGAGTCGGCATCAAACAGTGCTAACTTCAACTAGTCCATACATAGACGAAAAAGTCGTTTAGTGCTTTGAGGTTTTCAATGGTGGTCTTGCTCAGATCAGTTCGTGATTTCAGCAATGAATATATGAAGCATTATTAATGTTACGTTCCCTGAAATAGATGGTTTAATTTAAAAAAACTTCTATTTTAGATCTAGGCAACGTCTTCAACACGTATTACATTTAGAAGTAAACTTTTCAGTTAATATACAAGAGTTGAAACAGTTCTTTTTGATGACCTAATGTGCAATTGATTAACTTTGTAAACTTTGAGGTATAAACAAAACGATTAACCTCGTTAAGTTAAAAATAATATTGTACACAATTTGTGTACATCCTATGTCAGTCAATTTTAGTTGATATTTAATAAACCTGGATCATACATATGATAAGTTCTACATTCAATGAATCAAGAGTAACTCGTCAACACATAATCATATCTTTAGTTATAATAGGATTTATTTCAGGAAGAAAGGTTTCTAATCCACTTTTGAATTCGTAAGAATAATGTATTTTGTTATAATTATCAACTACATTAGTAAAGAAAATAGAAAATAAAATTTATTTACCATATTAGTATGAGTGAAATACTGAGATTAGATGGTGGTTGGAGGTAGTCGACAGGAAACCTTGGACCCGCGTTTCGTGCCACTTGACACTCGTCAGCAAGCTGTACCTGTAATCTTGAGAGAACTGGTGCTCCCTGGAGAATTCGATCCCGTGTCACCCAGCTTCACAGTCAGAGACGTCACTACTGAGCTATCCGAACCGCGACTGACCTCCTGTAGGACTGAGATGTAATCACAATTGATTAATCACTGGGTGGTGATCAATCAATTGTGATGGGTGAAATACGTTTGTTATAAATAATAAACTGACGATGATTATGATCCAGAATTGATATCAATCAAAAAGTTCATCTAAAATATAAGGAATTCAAGTTCTCTTGGTGAATATTGGATCAGGAGGAAAAATATATTCACATTTAATTATTCTTTCAGCAATCCATTGAATTAAATCATTATTATCTCAAATACTACTGAACTATCCAAATAAGTAACGAATATTTTAAAGTAGAAATTTCAAACTTTTGTGACTTACTGTTCTATAAATATAAAATTTTTCAACAAGATTTCTTTCTAATATTAGTCAGTTGACTGATATGATTGACAAACGCAAGTCATTTTTGTTTTTCTCAGTTGATTTATTAATTAAGAGCTAATTAATCAACTAGTAAGGTAAATTATAGCTAGTTACTTACTTACTCGAGCACGTCATCCCTCATGTGGTATAGGCAACCTTTCAGTAATCTCCAGATAACTCCGTCGTGGGCTCTCCTATCTAGTTGTTGCTGAGTGATATTTACCCTTTAGATGTCTGTGTTTAGTTTCCGGCGTAATAAATTCTTTGATCTTCCTCTTTTCCTCTTATCTTAATGATTCCAAGTAAGATACTACTTTATGATGAAAATTGATGATTTCCGTAAAGTGTCCTATCCATCCTGAGATTCTTTTTCTAATTTCTTCCCCACTTGGCAGCTAATTTGTCTTCTGATACAGTAAGTGGTTATTGATGATAATTGACAAACGGATCTGGGGTATCTTGAGTAGACAGATTTTTATAAATACCCGTACCTTTTTTAATTTTTGCGGTGTTTATCCAAGTTTCAACTTCGTATAACAGAACTGTTTTATTTTTAGGTGTTAAAGATTCTGAGATTTGTTTTCAATTACAGATGCTCTTTAATTTTAAAAATGCTTTCCTCTCATTATCAATTTGTGTCTTCAAATCTGCATCAGATCATCTTTATTTACAGATAATGCTGCCCTGGTAAGTGAAGTATTTCGTCTACCCTGGAGCCTCTTCATACTGTGTGATTTCATCTCATACTGGGACCTATCTTTGCAGGATCTGCTGCTATACTGTGTAAATTCGCCTGCATTTTTTCTGTGTGTGCGATAAAATGTCTAAGTTATATGGAAGTGACTGATCACATCCTTCATGTGTGATAATGTGATATGGCAACTCGAACTGATGCACGTACGTACGAAGTTCTACGTTGTTACTGACTGACTAAATTTACTGTTCATAGTTATGCTGTTTATTTTAAAAGTTGTCTATCATTCTTATAAATTTTCTACAACATTAAATGTTTAGTATGCATACACATGTACCGTAATTAATGTGTTTTTCTTTTCTAAAAAAATAGATACCTTTAAATATGTTCAATGAGAAATATCAAAAACTTGTTTCATTATGTAATCAATTAAGAAATGATGATGTAATTGTTCAATATGATACGAAATGTTTGAATAAAATGGAGAAATTATTGAAACTCTTAAGTTATATTTTGGATACAGAATTGTTGGTTAGTTAGTTTGTTCTTTGTTAAACCATTTTTTATAAAGAAAAACAAACTTCCTAATAAGTTATAGTTATCGTTTAAAGTATGAATTGCTATAGTTGAATTCATGAGTCAATTGAAACTAGACCATCATGGAGAACCTGGAAGTACTGGACGGTCGTTTTCTATGGTGGTCCAGTTCTATTTGACTCATGAATTCAACTATAAAAAATCTCCACAAAATCCCTTCTGAAAAAAGAATTATGTTATTTTGTTTTTTATTTAAGTTTACTTAGCAGTTACACATCTGTTATTGGTTGATGATTGTTACATAATGAGAAGTAACTAACTTTACAGGTTTAGACTATGGTTTCTGCCAGATCTAAAGGTTATGAGCTTAAAACATAACAGTGAACATTATTGGGTATATCCTAAGCCTGAAAAGAATAGTACTCCATGATGAAAACTTCCTTTTTAGCAGTTATTTGACTATTATGCTATGGAAATGATACTTTTAAATGTGATACTTCATTATAGCTATGCTAGATTGATTGGTAAGGTTAAGATAAGTTTGAGTAGCTGTCTTTGTAATAACATACTTCAAATATTGCAGTAATTAATTGATGTAATGGTTACAAGAACAGATTTCTTTCATAGGATTGATAATTTCTTGTTATCCAATTTTATAAATTGCTTCATTTATGCAATAACTCAACGATTGTGAGATTGTGGGGCCCTTTATTTTGTCGTCATTTAGATCAAACGATGTTTGTTGATGGGCTCTCCAATTTAGTGGCCCACGATCTGACTCCAATTCGATCGTATGAATGATTGTGATCGAAGTACATATGTCCCCATTCTCGTACATAATCATCGACTTAAATCGCGTTAGTCAATAACGGAATTAAATAAGTCAAATAACGAGAATCGAATTGTGAATACATTTATTTTGTATATAAAGCGAATGGGATAGAACAAAGCAAAACGACGCGCTGTGGAGATGGCGGGTAACCCAACTCCTATTTAACCAAGCGTTGATCAATATTTATAGTTACACAAAAATAAGTTACAGACACGTGATGAATGGGATAAGAAATGTACACACACATATGAGCTCATATAAAAACAGTCAAGATTGATAAGCGGATAATTAACAAGGTATAAGTGTGACTCAAGTTGAATGAATAGAATGGGCTGTCCCAAAGCTAGAATTAAGGTATATGGGCTTAACATAACAACCGACGCTACAAGATAACGATCGAGATCAGTACTTAACACCTATTGGTCTAGGATGGAGTTTTGTATGCCCACTTGTTAAATAATCGTACTAGGACAAGAACACAACAGACAGATAACTTCTATTGTACCGTTCAATTCATAACTCAAACTAGTGTGATAATATAGGTTAAATTCCAGACCACACATCAGTATAAATTAAAATAAAAATTTAGGGACAACCATGTCATAAGTGAAAATGTACTTAGCGGTTGGTTCATACTTGACTAACGTAAGGAATGTAAAACACAGAACATTAATTTATGCGCAAAACGAATGCTTACAACTATTATTATATAAAGGCTATGAACTGATCAGTATTAAACCACCATTGAAAATATGGGAGCACGGAATGACCATTTTTTTCTCAGTATCAAACTGCTCAGTAGTGCAGATCCGCGGTCCCGCAAACCAGAATAGAACCTTGGAACCTCGTTCTCACGCGGACGTCTAAGCCGGCGTTCGAAAATGTTATGCCTCAATGAATCTCAAGAATATCAATAACTGTATACTGATAATCATTATGTGCTCACTAGTAACTAGCTTCGAGAGGTGAATTTCGGGTATGAGGCGGTTTTGCACCGTAGATGGTCCATACTGATACAAAACGACTATTCACTGCTTCCAGGTTTCCAATGGTGGTCAGACACTGATCAGTTTATGATCTCAATAAAGTTTATGTTATATTTAATAAAGAGGAGTGTTTTTTTTGTTGGGTTCACTGCAGCAAGCACCACAATTTCACCAATAGTACACAATTTTTAGTATATGGAATTGTTTCACTTCTATTTGGATATATACTTGATTAAACTGGGAAATGTACTCGGATCTGAATCTAACATTGAGAGATTGCGAGAAGAATCGTACGATTTCATCCGATAAAATCCTGAACATGACATTTTTATGTTATCAGTATAGAGTAGATGGAATAGGATTAACGGTTGAATTCAGTGCTCGAGTTTTTATCCTGTTTAGGACTAGTGAACTGGATGTACCTACATCCCAAAGTTGATATCTATCTCAGAACTCGAGCTCAATTCCATTCACTTCAAACGCTATCGCATTATCCATTTAGTTACTGAGTTTAAATAGCCATTCATTTATGCAACAGGTATGAGTTTTAATTCCATATGAAATGGATCGATTCTGACCCCAAATGCCTTGGTACGGCCGAGAGTGGGGAGAGTCCACTCTACCTCTCCAAATGCTCTCACATGGCCACGCGTATATAGCTTCTGCCAGGGAAGTCCTACTCAATGCTTTCTTGCACCACGGGTGTTGTTTACGAAAATGAGAGTACGAAAAGCGAATGTCCGGCGCTTTAACCGGATTCCAAACCAATGGTGCACATGGGCTCTAGTATCCTGAGGGAACAAATGACGTATGAACCAACTGTTGGTCACCGGCTTCCATGGGACTGCATCTCCTTACGATGCTCCACTGCCTTGTGGATCAGACCTTCATGTCGAAGGCTCGGGGAGTGGCTCCCTGTACCTCTCTTGTACCTAAAGTCATGCTAGTTAGATTTATACACAATACAGTTTTCACTGTTAGTAACTGTTGAATTGTTAAAGCTATACAAACTCTTCAGTAATGAATGTATGAAGGCTTTTTTTAGTATTTTCCTTATTTGTACAAATGAAGATATACAATGGTTAGCAACTCTGTTTTTAAAATGTTTTTAAATTCAAGTCTTTCTCATCAGAATATTGGAATCATTGTTCAAAACTATTAAATATATCAATCAATATCAATTGGAAAAATTGTACAATCAGTGATTTAATCAATAATCCTGAGTCTAATTTATTCAAACAAGAATATCAATTAAAGGAAATCAATAATATATTTCAATATTTATTATCGATTTATCAAATTAAAACAACAATTGAAAATCAATTCAAATCATTAAATATTCAATTTATATCAATGAAATCACATTCAGAATTGATTAAATCTATTCATTTATCATTTCGTAATGAATATATTGATCAAATGAATCAGGTAATACAATATTTATAATTCAAATTATGTTTCGAAAGGATTTTCTAGAGATTGTAGTAATTTTAATAGTTGAGATTATGAGTTCATTGAAGCTAGACCACCATGGAAAATCTCCACAAAACCTCTTCTGATATTAATCATCTACTCACCAGTGACTGACTTCAATAGATATTTCGTGGAGTTCTAGTGAGAAGCCGTTACCAATGGAGTTCAACCAGGTCTGTTGTGAGATATCAACTCACTGAAGACAATGGTGTATGGTGGCGCAACTTTGTGGATTGGTTCAAGTTAGACATTAACACCATTGGATGCCGTCTCAGTGGTTTAGTGGTCAGGCGCTCGCTCGCGAAACTGATATGTCCTGAGTTGGAATCTGGCGTTGGGCAGGATCGTGGGTGAGCACTGCTGAAGATTCCCAAGATAGGACAAAACGGTCGTCTAGTGCTTCCAGATTTTCCATGGTGATCTAGCTTCAATTGACTCATGATTTCAACTAGTGAAACATAAAGGTCATAATAATAAACTGAATAATAATCTCGAAAAGTCTAAGTTTAAAATGCAAAACAGTAATTTAAAAAATTCAATAATCATCAAATAAAAGTGCGGAAAAACAAGTAGAAAAAAACCCAGAAACATACCCATCAAATAAATTAGGGCCAAGGAAGGATGAGAAGTTGGATAAATCGTTTCTGCACGTAAAGTTCAGGGTTGAGTTCATGGATTGCCAATGCCTCAGCAGTGCATAAAATATTGATTCGACCCCCCTTCCATCCAGTTCCTTTGACTCTATAGATCACTTTAAAAGAATAGTCCTTTGGAGCGATGTGTCCACAGTTAATTAAATACTTCGGTATCAAACTAGTAATTGTTTTACATTCTCCTTTTAAGAGCCAAGCCAGATAGTGTTCCGAGATGCGTTTGTACAGTGATCGATTTGTGCGGCCTATTCAATCTTTTCTATCATCCTACAGACATACATTTTCCATGTAACTATATATACGAATGTACAACTTAAGTAAATGATTTTGTCGAAAAGATTTTCTTCGCTGAATTTTTTTTCTTCCTATTTGTTCTACTTTAAGATTTCCTAACTTAAATTGATTAATATTTTTACTGTACTTTACGTTACCTCTAACTAACTGAGTGATTTTCTATCTAATATCCTTTTGTATTATATAAGGATATTTCTGGAAGGTATTCATCCAGAAGTAATCGTTGTACAACAGAAATTCCCTATTCATGGATATTCTTGAATATTGACAATTTAATTGAAAAGTTATGTGAATTATCAAGTAAACTTCAAAGTTTACTAGATTCTGAACTTTTGAATAGAATAAAACAAAATGAAACAACAAATGAGTATCTACTTGAAAATGATTACTACTTAATGAAGAAATTAAATCAAACAAAGAATACATTATGTAATATAAAGTTAATACAAGATTATGTAAGTCATTTTAATGATCATGTGTGATAATCAGAAGTATTTGTATTGTAATCAAAATCAAGGTCATTTAGTACTTGTGCTTCGCATTGAACAAGTTTCCCACAAGGAACGAATGCATTATGAAGACAAATATTATTTGATATGAGGTCAAGATTTGATTCTTCTGAAATAGTTTCCTCGAATTTATTAAGAATGTTATTGCAGAGTAAAGGATCATTAGAAAAATCAGCATCTATCACGACTGCATCAGGTTTTCGATCATGACTAGGTTCACTCAACATATTTTCCCCAGATTTGCAAGGAATTTCGTCAGAAATAAGTGAGTCATTAAGAAAAACCATATCTGATACAATAACATGAGAAATCTGATAAGCTGATTGATTAGAAACTGTTGTCTTGCCAAGATTCTGAGTTTCACTTAACTCTGAACTGCTATATGACTCTACACTCTTTTGAAATCGTTGATAAAAATAAATGATCATTATAAATACTCAACTTAATAGAATCAGAATTACAAGACTTAATATTCGTTGCAGCTAGATGAACAGTAGTACAACAAACTGACTGAATATGTCCAATATCACCACATTTAAAGCACTTGGAATTACGAAATTTACATGAATTAAAAGAGTGGAACCTGCCACAGGACAAACATTGGCCAAACTTGTGTCCATCTTTGTGAACTGCACCGCAACTCCTCAATGAATTATCTGCATAACCTTGAGTATGCATTGGGTTGGGATGACGTAATGTAGTGGAATTTTTATATCCTCATGAATCATTTTACGAAATCTTCCTCCTTTGCCGCATTCAAAATCTGTAGACTTAACATAGTCTGGCAGTAGATCCTTGAGAATTGTATAAGAAAGCGAAATGGGCTTTTCCGGTAAAGCTAGAGTTCTTAATAAGCTATATGCTTCTTTTCCGATGAATGTGAGGAAATGTGCTACAATATTAACATCCACATCATCTTCCTTGGTCATAGCCCAGATTTCGAACCTTTCAAAGTAATCCTCAAAAGCATCAAAATCTGAATGTATGTCCAACCGTTCCATCACAGGCTCCATCGCGACGCCAATATGATAATCGGAAATGTTTGAATTATAGTACGAACTGAGAATCCCAGAAATAACGTAATCAGATCAAGAAGTACTAGATAACCACAAACGAATGTACTGTATTTAGAATTCGAAATCAGGCATTCAACAAGTACCAAGGTATCATTAGTTCATTCAAACACCACATCATGTCTAAATGATTAAAATATTATGACTGATAGTATTAGTTCTAAAGCAGATTCCGTATGTTTTTAAATATTTTTTTCTTTACTATGAAACATAATTAGTTAAAGAACTATTCAAAAAAACTAACGGGAACTAGGCAACTGTTTAACTATTGATGGAGTTTTGTTCTCTGAGCTAGATGGTTTAGTCGTGGAGTTTTCATTGTTCTTGTGAACGACATTATCAGCACAAACTCCATCACAAACATTTACTTGGGGTACAAATCTTCTCCACCATCTCAATCGTTTAACTATTTACCAGTGAGAATTCCTAGAATTCTATGTAAAATTAAAATCCATGGTATTCAAATCTCTACAAATATCAACTATGAATACATCCGTATAACATACTCTGACATGTTGGATGAAAGAAATCAACAATTATTACTTCATATACTATCTCGATTGAAAATTACACTTTAATACGCTTTAACAAGTAATACTAACTAAATATGAACAGGAAAATGGATAGAACTGCTGGAGACGATATATTTAATGAACAATTAAAATGTTATGAATAGTTTCAGCATATTTTCAAAATGTAATAAAGTCTATTTTATAGCTCAAGCCTAATCGAACTTTGGAGGCACTCTTCAATATCTAGGCTACCTGTTCCAGCCATTTAGATATTTCAACAAATTATGTTTTTTGTTTGTTTTAGCGCATCATTATGTCTATTAACTGTATAACCTACTCAGGTGCGTTTATGAAAAGTTTATGAACTTTCTCTGTACAACTTACAAAAAAGTACAATCAGAGACATTGTGGTGGCTGGCAGTATGCACTGGAATGACTGAACATAGCTTAGATGACGATTCCTGTAGTGCTAACATCTGACTGGCGATCACTCAGTATTTATCGTCAGGATCGATCAAGAAATAAGTAGAAGAAACTTGTTGAAATACTTTGTTCTGAGAATTATATATTGTACCAAAAATATAATATTGAATAAAGTCATTAGTAGGTTAATATCATCGTACTGACTTAGTTTATTTCATTTATGGGTAACAGCTTTTCAATACACCATTGAAAAACTTATCTTGAGCAAAATGGTCTTTTTTATGTAGTAGTGTTCTGAGGATTTCTATATATATCGAGCATGATGTCGGTTTGATGCAATTAAAATTTCATGATAAATATACATTGGTTATAGTCATAGTCCGTTGACAATTCGATAACTTTTCTTTTGAATTATTTATTTATTTGTTTTAACACATAGATATTGGTACAAGGAGGCAACAAAATATATATGCGCCACACAAATCTCATTTGATTTGTGTGAGGGCTGTAATACTGCTCGGGTGGCCAAACTAAAGCAGGTGGTTTGCTAAGGGGGCCACACCCAGAACCTTCGACCTGAAGGTCCAATCCACAAGCCAGTGGAGCATCATAAGGTGATGCAGTCCCATGGTAACCGGTGACCAATAATTGGTTCATACACCATTTGTTCTTTCAGGATACTGGAGCCCATGTGTACCATTGGTTTGGAATCAGGGTTTTCCAACTCCCCTAGGTGGACCCTCCGTGTCCACCAACCCAGTTAAAGCGCCGGACATTCGCTTTTAGTCCTCTCAATTTCATAAACAACCCACCCCCGTTGACGAGAAGGCAGTGAGTAGGACTTCCCTGGCAGAGGCTATATACGCGTGGCCATGTGAGAGCGTTTGGAGAGGAAGAGTGAACTCTCCCCACTCTCGGCCGTACCAGGGCATTTGGGGGCTTTCTTTTGAATAGTCAGAATTCATATCTAATAACTCTTTTGTTAACGTATCATTTGATTATGTTCAATGTTTTTAATCTGTACATGTTTATATTACACAGTGGTTATATTTATATCGATTATATTCATTAAAACAAAGTGATGAAGAATGTAACTCAAGTCAATTCATTATATTAACTGATAATTACATACATTTGGAAAATGATATACTACTAAATAATGATCGAGTAATATCTGTTCAATCTATCGAATATGAGGACAATGAACGAATTCAAATAAATTGTATAAATTTACAATGTTTTATTGAAATTGTTCATAGTAAATGGGATTTGTGGTTAATATTAAAGAATGATCTTTATGAACATGTTAGTATGTTTGAGAAATCAATCGATGAAATGTGTGAGGTAAGCAACGATTTGTAAGTTTTGATTGATTTTGCTAAAATTTGTATTAGTCGTTGATCTGTTTTACAAATATGGGTTTAAGTAAGATAAGAAGAAAAAAACATTGAAATAATGGAATTGCTGTGAAAGTTTGTTATTAGTAACTGGAAATCACTAGTAGTCATTAGCTTCTTGAGGATTTCAATGACAACGTTCCAGATAGTAACTGCTTAGTAACATGAATTCGAATGATAGTTTCTTTGAAATCGTAGGTGAACTAATGGTGTTCGATGTAAATAAGCATTCATACCGATTGTCTCTAACAGCCTCGAACTAGAAGACAGCGCACACAATGCTAATTCATTTGCATTTGTACTACACTACGCATTGGTTGGCTGAATTCAACGGCATTAATACGTAGTCAGTACTACATTGAAGTTTACATCAAGAACTGACCCTAGTTAGACAACCATTTAAAATCAGAGTGAGACCGGGAGGTTGTTTGAGGCTTCTCAGTAGTATACACCACAACACTATCAAAGATTGAACCTAGAACCTTCAGTTGTCCAGTGTTTCCTGGTTTGAATGATTGTCTAGATAAGGTGAGCTTCTAATGCAAACTACAAAATCCAACAGTCTTTACTGGTGTGACGTTAGTTGAACCGTTGAACAGATTCTAGTCCTGTTGTGACATGTGGTGCCTGATACTGATGATCATAGTTCTGAAAAACGCATCCTACTAGCTGCTCGAGTGAAAAAACGAAATGTGGGGGTTTACTGACTGACCGAATCGGCGTATATATATCCCTTAGAAAATTAAGCCACTGATGGTTTATGCCACATTCATTAGAAATGAAAACCATGTTTCGGCCAATCACGCGAACTTAACATTCTGATTGCATCACCTCGCCCTCCTAAGACATAGATTTTTCATCTCAGGTTCAGTTAAAGAAGTTGGGATGAGTGCACCACAAAGTCGTTTTCTTAAAATGTTCGAAATTATCAAAAAAACTACTAAGTCCTAACCATTTGTTTTTTTCCATTCTAGACATTTCCATTATTTTGTTTATTATCCAAAATGGAAAGAATTGAACTCCTAAGTAATTGGTCCATTCCATATTGTGATTATGCAGCTCCACTGAAATGTTCTGTTGAGGACTTTACTGATCAAAAACAAAATTCTTACCAGTCTTCTTTAGATACTAATTATGGATTAGTCAATCTGAATAAATGGATAAAACGCTTATTTCCATATCTGTTAGATTGTGTAATAATATGGTGTAAAGCAGAGAAATGTTGGAAGGTTAGACGTAGTGTGATAAAATTATCTATCTATCAATCAATCTATATGTCTCATTCCTAGTCTATAATAAGACATGGATATCAATTGATCAATCATTATGAAGTATAAAAAGGATGCTTCATTTTGATTTGATAGTCTCCATTAATGACATATCCGTGACGCCATGTGACTACGAGACTGAAAACTTCAAATTTTATTACGAGTACGATATTATAATGTCAGGGAATTGTTCTACTCAAGTTCTTATTTCCAAACTCCAAGCACTTTGTAGGATAGCCCTATCTTCAGCTAATATTGTTCCTGAGTATCAATGTCATTCAGAACTTCAACGATTTTATAGGTTACTTGTTATAATAACCAAATGGTATTGGCAACAGTTCAGATACATTTTAATAAGTGAATAAAGCTTAGGAATTACCAATAATTACTTAGTTAGTTATAAATTGTCATTAATCACCGTTTTACAGCAATCTTGTTGTATTAAAAACAATCATAAAAATAATGAATACTTATAACTGTGACTAAATTAATAAAGTATGGTAATTATGTAGTAAATGTTCTGTTATCAGAGATGATCTGAACTAGGAAATATACACCTCCGGACAGTTTTATTACCAAATACCAAAGACCGATGACTAACCTAAACAGATGTGAAAAGAAGTAATATGTGTTAATGAACCTAACTACTAATAGCAATCTTTGGTGCTTCGCTATATTGGGATTAATTTGAAAACGGAATCGAGAAGTACTGGATCCCCAATCTATGATATTTAAAAGCAATGCAGTGACTACAAGACTTATAAATCCTGAGTTCATCCTTTGAAGATGCTCACTGCTAGAATGAAGTATCTGCTCAGTGATTCAGTAGTTTTCAACTGAAACTGAGGTGTATCTGATATGTGGCTAATGAGAGTGAATGTGATTGGTTACTGAGTACAAAATGAAAAAATCAACATACTGACTTATTATTGATTGACTACCATTGATTTCTACTCTAGAGTTCATGGAGTAAAAACTGCTTTGTAACTATGTTGAATAAAGTATTATCTAGTCTATATTCGGGTTTTCTATAATCAGTCATGAATCATATACCTCGTGTAATGTGATGCAGTCTGTGCATAGCGCACCGATTGTACATCTAGTACAGCAGTTAAATAATCTCAAATACTGTCGAATTATTGCTTTATGGTAGTAAGCCCTGGTAAACAGAAAGGCGAGACTATAATTTATGGACGACCTTTGAAAGAATCTTAAGTAACCTCGAGAAATATTAGTCAGTCAGCAAACAGATAGTATAGAGTAAAAATATATTATACAAAACCAAAGAAATAAAGTGGATAAACTTCTTATATATGGTTCAGAAACTTGTCAAGGTTAGAAGGAGGTTCTAAGGTTCTAAAATCGTAATGCATGCAGTAGAGGAAATCATTCATACGGCTACAGAATGGTCGGCCCTGGAGCCATGATCGCAAAAACTCTTCCAGCCTCGACCACATAGCATCAATATTGTTTGTGGACACTCCGGGTGTTGAGTATACAAAATGCCACTTGTGGATAATTACACGATGCGCATAACCAAACCTATGTAGGAGCCTGTACTCTCTCCAGTCATCCGTATATATTGTAGTACCTGGCTGCAGCCAGTGTTATTGGTGCTTTTATTATCTAGTTCGCAGTAATTGTCATAATTTGTCTTAGTTAGGAATTATGTATAGGATTTTTCATCACGAACTGACATCAGCTATAATGCTAAAACTCTATTTAGCCAAATGAATGAAAAACGTTTGCGACAAAATTCGAGATCTGTTATCTTATACCTGATTGGTTCATCCACAATTTGTAATCTCGCCGTTTTATTTGTCATAGCCGCTCGATTATCAAGTTTTGTATAAAATCATCTGTGAACCAATCATACGTTAGCATTAAGTACTGCAGTTGGCACCATGACTTTGAATTCCCTCTAACGCTTCTGATTGGCCCGTCCATAAATTATAGTCTCGCCGTCCAGTGCTTCTAGGTTTTCAGTAGTGGTCTAACATTAATCGGTTCCCAAACAAAAACGTAATAATCTCCACAACCCCTATACTGATAATTACCATGTGCTCACTAGTGACTAGCTTCGTGAGGGAATTCTCGGAGTTCTAGTGAGAGTCCATGACCAGTGAAATTAATCCATATCAGGTAGAGACAAGTATCTACCTCAGCACAATGGAAGATGGTCGCGCAATTTCGTGGATCGGTTGAGGTTAGACATTCACACTATTGGATGCTGGCTCAGTGGTCCAGTAGGTTCAGCGTCCTTCCAAGTTTTCAGTGGCGGTCTAACATCAATCATTTCTCGATCTCAATCAAGAAAATAAATCTGTTCATTCGTTATATCGATATCTGAGAAAAAAGAAACGTTGAAGTAATTTTATACACACTCATATACAATTTTATTATTATTATTATTATTATTTAGATTACTGGAGTCATTAATGAATTCCATCAACATATTGAACTATTAGATTCACTTAAATGGATTCCATCAATTAATCAATGGTTTACACAATTTTATTCAACATTACAATTAACATTCTTAAGAATGACATTGAATTCCTTGTTAAATGCCGAAAGAAACCATAAATGGATAAATGAGTCCATCAGAAAGAAACAATTAATACCTGTCATTATTTTAGAATTAACTATACGACTTATGAATTGGCAAAAATTAGAGAAAATTATAATAAAAGAAGATCGAAGAGATGAATTCGTTAAAATAATGTAAGTGGTTATTTAAAATTATACTGTTCAATTTTCAATAATAATCATATATAACTATTTTTTTATATTAATCCGTGTATATATGAGGATTGATTTAATATCTTTCAGTAAGTATTAATCTTTTAGATCATTGAGTTATTATTCATGGTTATAGGTTAGGTAAAACAGGAGGATTCATGGGTAACAGTCAGTCTGTCAAAAACAACGTAGAACTTCGTACGTTCGTACATCAGTTCGAGTTGCCATATCACATTATCACACAGATCCAGTTGTCGATTCAAATCCCGTAGTGGTAGAGGTAGTAAGAGTATAAGTAATAATAAGAAAGATTAGTGTTTGAAGATGTTATTCAACGAGTATAATCCAGTGTGATAAATTTGGAAAGAGAAAAAAAAGAAAGGAACATGAAGAATTCAGAAGATTAGAATTCGCGAGAACATAAGGAGTGGATTCACCTACGCCATTGCAAACGATTTTCGAGCATGTTATTCAAGGTTTCTAATCATCGGTTGATATCATCTTACAGATTGCAATCAGGTAGTCTACACCTACCAACATGACTCAGTCCACTTGTCAGTGACTTCATGAATTTGTGACATGTTTTGGTCTGGTCGCCTCTAGATTTCTTCCTACCTACTCCTGCAACATAAAACATCGCACGTCGGAGCAGTCGGTGGTTGGGCATACGTAACACATGTCCCAGCCATTTCAACTGATGAAGTTTCACTACGTCATCAATTGATTTGCCATCCTTACCTAGTACCCGTTTCCTAACAACTGCATTACTTACTCGGTGGTCCCAGAATATACGAGCAACGTTTCGAAGACACATGTGATCAAATACTAGTAACCTACGAATATCCTCTACTCTTACCGGCAATGTTCCACTGCCATAAAGTAGGCTAGAACGAACTGCTATGCAGTAAACCCGTTCTTTGTTTGGTAGACGGATAGCTCGCCTACACCATAAATGACGCAAGTTGGCAAAAGCTAGTCGAGCTTTGTGTATCTGTGCAGAGATTTCGTCTTACATCAGACGACAAGGGCTGATGAGACTTCGAAGATAATTGAAGCGGTCGATATGCCCAACTACTTTACTCCCTATCATTTAGTTCGGGTGTCGATACAACCTAATCCTGAGGTAACACTTTTCATTTTGAGAGGGTGAATCGCATCCCGAACATGCTTGCATTGTTGCTTAGAGTGGTCATAAGACTCTGCACTTATATGTTCGGACTACTGAGAATTTTCATATTAGAACGAAATAGGTTCTTAGTATTTTTGTATTTTCAGTTGTACCTTAACTTATGTCAGTTCTTGATAGGAATCACTTATAAAATCAATACACTACTTTATCTATTTCTTATTAATGAATCATCCGATTTTTAAAAATGATCTGTAATTGGGGAGTCTTGTACAATTCCCACTTTCAATTTCAGTTAAAGATAAGCAACTTAAGTAGTTGGCAAAGTGTGGATCAATCCAAGTTACTGCACGTCATTAGTAACGTGAAATAAAATTAGCGAAAGATGAATATAAAGTCAAAGGAAGTAGTAGCGGTATCAATGATAATGAAAAAAATATTGGGAATAGAGTATACGGTTTCAGAATAAGGACTAAATTCGTGTATGAAATAATATTGGAAATTACAATCCGGGAGTTGAGTAATAGGGAATAAAAATTATTCATTTGAATTGATTTTGGTCCTTTTCTCGCGGACCCCAACCATAGCTGTAAAGTCTATATGAGCTTTTAGCGATACCTCTAAAGTAACATATTAGGAATTAGTATAATGGTTACATGCATTTTTCATACTTATCTTTCGAAATATGGAAACTAATGTGATGTCTTTCAGTAGGCGCCAAAACTTTAGATCACTGAAATGATATTCAAAGTTATGGGCTGTATGTTATTTGGATTTTTGAAGGCTGCTATTTTTTTTACTGGAAAATGCCTCCTTGAAAATGACCTCAACAATCATTTAATTATAAGCAGAGATAGATGGTGACTAACAGTGGAATCCAGTTTGACGCACGTTTCGTCCTAGGTGGGACTCGTCAGCTAGACGTACCTGCATCCCAGAGTTGATGTTCACTTCAAGACTCAAACCCAGTATCATTCACTTTAAACGCCATCACCTCCACAACTTAGCTACTGAGTCCTGATAGCCACTAGGTTGCGCAATGGGATGAAGTTTTAATTCATCCAGCTGACTGGTTCTAAATGGGACAAAACGCGCATCTTGGATTCCACTGTTAGCCACCATCCATCTTTGCTAATAATGCTTGTGAACTAAGGCAACACCGCCAATAAAAATTTCATATATTTTTTATAAAGATCAAATGTTTATTCGAATGAACATTTTTATGCATATATGTCATTTCACTTGTAAGTTAAACTCCTTTTATAAGGTTCTTTGAAGAGGGAGCTTTATTATGAATACAGTGATCTTGAGTGTGAGGTATGAGGGCACTTATCACGTTCCGGCTTCCCACACCGTGGAAGAGCTCTGCTGTAGATACCTGTGAAGGAAATTAGGTTGGGGGTGATCTTACTGACCTGAGAGCGTGGCCGCAGTGTCCAAGGGACAACTGCTTGAGGTAGGTCACACACGACATTTCTGTGGGTAATTTTCGTGTTAGCTCCGTACTTGTTGAGACCTTACCACCGGAGACGGATATCCGTGGGATAAGGTGAGGTGTGCATTTTTAGGGTCGACCTTTTCTAGCCCCACCCCTCCTTGTGGGATGGCAGCATCACTGTCATGTTGGTTGTGTGAAGGAGACACCTTACTGTCGTCACACCTCCGTACATTCAACAGTAGGACTTCACCTTAGGACCTTAGGTTCGTTAGTGTTTTGGAACTGTTTACTCCAAAATATTTTAGTAAATGAGCAATGTTTCGATTTATTTCTACAATACAGAGAACAAGTAAGATTGCGCTGATTGATAGAATGACAGAAAGGATTATTAAATAGCCACCTATTCAAATAGTCTAATTAAGATGTAAGATCATTAACAATAATAGGAAACAAATTGGTAATCAGTAGAAAAAGCCCATATCTAAAGAAGTTTAAGTTTCTTTTACTATCCTTCTTGAGATGTTACAGATTCATAGCGTATATTGTGGGTAAATATTTATTACAGCAATCAAAAATCGATGTAATCCTAATGTGTTAAATCACAAGTATTTGAGTGTTTTTATAAAAAAAATTGATTCAACAGTTGAGATCATGAGTCAATTGAAACTAGACAACCATGGAAAACCTGTAAGCAATGGACGGCCGTTTCGTCCTATTGTGGGTCCTTTCAACAGTGCTCATCCATGATGCTACCCAGGACCTATCAGTCTGGCGCCAGGCGCTTATTTCTATTCTGTTGAACATTATAATAAGTTCATGTGAGTTACTCTTTCAAGTGGTTCTTTCTATATGTTTTGTCTAATCTGAAGTTCAAATTATGCAAAAATATTTCATACTGATCAATTTCTTTGGTGATCTAAGAGATATTGATCAAATAAAGAAACTGGAGAGAGTTCATTTAATTATTTCTTTTTTTTAAACACTTTAATTTGATTTTTTTTCGACAAGAGAATACTTCGAAGAACAATTAAATAGTATTATTGAACCATTGAAAACTATTCCGTTTAGTTATGATAATCAATTCAGTTCAAGAATCGATCAGTTAACATGCCAAATGTTGATTGGAACAATTTTGGGATTTATTTATTTAATACAAGGTAATGCTCATTTCTTTCATATTACTTACTTTACTTACGCCTGTTACTCCTAATGGAGCATAGGCCTTCGACCAGCACTTTCCAACCCACTCTGTCCTAGACTTTCTTTTCTAGTTCCGTCCAATTCTTGTTCATTTTACTCATGTCTATCTCCATTTCCCGGCGTAATGTGTACTTTGGTCTTCCTCTTTTCCTTTGGCCTTCAGGATTCCATGTGGGGGCTTGTCTTGTGACGCAGTTGGGTGTTTTCCTCAATGTGTGTCCTATCCTCTTCCAGTGCTTCTTCCCGATTTCTTCCTTCGCTGAGATCTGTTTTGTTCTCTTCCACAGCAGGTTGTTGTTAATAGTGTCCGGCCAATTTCTTTCATATTCTCAGTGTATAATTAAAAAAAAATCTATCCTATGTGTCGTATAGATGTTTTTCCATGTCAGTCATTTCGAAATAACACATGATGTCACTCAGTAGATTATGATCTACTCAATTAGTTGTCAGGATCTGTACATTGCAATATATGGTAATTCCTTCTTGCAGTCAAATGTTAATCTCATACGATTGTAAAATTATTTCATTGTATTAATTCGTTTCCTTTACAATTGATTGATCACTAGGTGGTAATCAATATCATGTGAGTCAGGTCCTTCTTAGTGCAGATCGAATCCTATCGACCAAGTTGAAATGTTGCCACCAGTCTAGGTGATACGACATTACTTCTACTGGTTTACTATGATTCGCAATTAAGACTATTAATCATCAAAAATGTTCATTTCGAACAACTTATTAATTCTTACTATTTCATGAAAAATTCCCATTATATTAAAAACACAATCGTATGAACGAAGAATGTTCTTTTCAATAATTTCTCATCAGGTTCTACAATTATAAATCCAAATGAGTAATCCATAATAATGACCAGATGTAGGGCACAGAGTACATCATTTGGAAATTGTAATATGTGAATCAGGAATTGTTTGTTATATAAAATAAAATCGTTAATGTTGGGGCTGACTAATACGAAGTGTTAACTTGAATCAGTTTATAAACGAAATGAAATTGTGCGATAAATTATCAGAATAAATATGGTCAAACAAATAGTAAGAGAGAGAGAGAGAGAATATTGTGATTACAAATCGGAAATTGCGTAATATGTAAAATAATTAGGTCAAATATAGTAGATTCAGGGGTGGATATTGAATAAATTCCTCAAAAAGGGGTTATCAAGTGTAAAGACAATAATAATAATAATATTAATAATAATAACAG